GATAGCTGTGAACTCATTCGCTTCGTCCCAGTGACTCCCTCGCGTGTCTTCCCCCGCGACCCCAGCCCTGTCTGCTGCCCGCGCTCCCTGCGGCAGGACGCGTTTCCGGTGACGCAGGCCTCCCGTGGTAAGTGCCCCGCCCCCCCGCCCCGCCCGGCTGTGCCGTGACCTTCGCGGGTGAAGTGCACGTCCCTGGCGCTGACTCGGTGACCGCTGTGACCGACAGAGGGCAGCAGCCATGACCCTGCAGCTCTGGCAGCGGCCTCTCCCTGGCCCCGCCCTCCCTGTCCCTTGGGCCTTGCGGATTTCTTGCTTCTTGGGACACGTCCTCTTGGCAGCCCGGGAGCTGCAGGAGCCGTGGGTGGGCGCTGTGACGGGCAGTGGCCACGGGCTCCCGGCCAGCAGCCGACATCAGATGCCTGCTGGGCGCGCGAGTCCTCTTGGCACGTGCAGGTGACCAAGGCCCAGCCGGCCTGCAAGGGCAGGCAGTCACCTGAGAGGCCCAGTGAAGGACACCCAGGCAGCCGGCCAGCCTGCAGAACCGTAGGCAATACGTGCTACCGCAGCCCCTACGCTGCGGGGCGTTTTACTGAGCAGCCGCAAGCGACCAGAGCAGCCGAGCGGGGGTGGCAGGCAGCTGCCCTCCCTTGACAGTGGGAGGGGCCGACCGGAGCCGGTCCTGGGTGACAGTGAGGCTCTGCTGCAGGACCATAAACGGGGATGATGATCATCACATCCTCATCGCCTCGGCTGGCACCGTTCCGGCCTTGGCTCCTGCCGGAGGGGGGCTGTGTTCCCGCCTGGTGCCATGGGCTCGGCGTGGGCTCCCCGAGGGACCAACCTCCGCCGCCCCCGCGTGTTACCTCTTCTCTCTACACCCACACCCAGGTCCCCGCCCCCCACCCCCCCGGGGAAGGCGGCTGGGCTTGCCTATTCTCACCAGAGGGCACGCTCCCTGCGTGGCCTGGGTCCCCGTGGGCATGGCCGCGCTGTCTGTAACGCTCACGCTGCTGCTGGGCGCCCGGGGTGTGCCCACCGCTGGCCCAAGCGCCCCAGGCACAGCCGGGACCCAGACAGGGAGACCGGGAAAGCCCCTTCACAGCCTTGGGGCAAAGCAGTGACTCCTCATCAGGCCTTAGCAGAGCAGTGAGTAGCAGCATTTTATTTCTCATGAAGTTGCTGATCCACACTGGCCAGTGACTCCATCCGAACAGCCGCCCCTTGTCCCCGGACGGGAACTTGGCGCGCCCCCCGCCCCCGCCCCACAGCGGTGCTCTGCCGTCAGCGTGGCTTTAGCATGGACCCGATGCGTACACACCGTCGCCCACCAACGCCCGGGTTTCTCCACTAGGGGTGTTGTGTGCGCACAGTCAGGTGCCGGTGGGACGTTGCCCGTGGGACGTTGCCCTTCGTCGCCGTCCGTCCAGCTGCTTCCGGACTTGCTGGCCACGCGGGACCGCGCCAGGTCATCTTCCGGGCGGTTACACCATGTCCTCGCAGGACAACTTTTTGCATAAGGATACTGTTGAAGACATCATTTGGTTTCTTTTTAAAAAATGTCTGATCAATGTTCTTAAAAGATTTTTTTCTTTTGGGATCTGTAAAATATGGTGAATAGGAGCATTTTAAAGAAAACAAGCTATTCAGAAATAATGTTGCCTTTTAAGCATTTCTGTTGCTACACTAAATACAGAACGGAAAATCCATTTAAAAACTCCTATTGGGTTTGGCAAGAGTACCATACTAGAATACTGGTTTTCTGGTTTCTAGCTAACTCACAAGCCTTAACACTGGCTTTTTCTTTTTTTCTTTCACTTATACTAATACCTACTAAGAGAAAAAGACAAAAAGCTCCTATCACCAAAATCTAGGACTGATGGTCTTTTTGCTAGTATCTTGGGGAATTTTCTGTCATCAAGCCAGTGGAATTTTAACAAAACATAGCCCCGTTAAGTAGCTGGGAGCAGAGGAGACCTAGAAAGATGGCTTGTCCCTCCACCGTCCTGTTCCAGAAGGACAAGGCTGATGCCCGACCCCACCCCCGCTTCCGACGAGCATCGTGACTTCTCCTTTCACGCTGTCTTCCTCCGTCCTGGCAGGCGCCTATCCCTGCACTAGTTTCCTTTTATTCTGTGCAGATTCTAACAGTGCATGGTGTGCACGGCTTAGGAATGTCGGGGGCTAAAAGGAGCTCATCCCGGTAGAAGAACTTAGACCGCTACTGGCTGCTGGGAAGGGCCATCAACATGAGCCATTGTTGCTTCTACTGCCAGCCGGTCCCTGGCGGCTCGCCCAGAAATCCAACAAGTACAGCTTGGGGGCGGGGGGGGGGGGGGGGGGAGGGCGTTGTCACAGAGGCCACCAGGCCTGAGGCGAGGCCTGGCAGCAGGCAGCCCCCAAGCAGAGCTGTCGCTCTTCCCGCCCTGACCGGCCGGCCTCGGCGCCAGGCGGAGCGAGGGAAGGCCTCCGGACGATGAACACCGGGCAGAGCCAAGACGGCTGGGGCCGGGCCTCGGGGGCCCTGACTGCTGGCACCTCATTCGGGGGACTGCGCAGAGCCGACGGCTATCCCCGGGCTGGCGGCCCGGCCCTGGCGCAGGCAGCAAGGCTGAGACCTGGGACTCCACCCACGCGCTCCCGTGAGGATGCAGTCGCCTCGGCCTGGCCACAGGCCTGCGGCTCCCAGAGGGGGCTGACGGCACTGGCCTGCCGTCCCCAGGCCTCGGACGGAGAGACGGGGCTCTGCCGCTCTCCAGGCCAGGCCGTGGGTCCCCGGGCTCCCCAGCCTCCACAGTTCAGGGGGAGTCACAGTAAACCAACCTGTGTGTGCGCGTGTGTCAACGTAACAAACACCGCGACCTGTAGAGCATTTTTTAGTTTATTTGAGCCAAACTGATGACAATAGCCAGAGAGCAAAATCCCAACAGACAGCAAATGCTCCAGAAAGTGGTGGTCTTACTGCTTATCTACAACATCAGAATCCAAGGAGACAGCGTTAGGGGGTGCATGGAGTCCTCGGTGGTGGATCGGGGAGGCGGAGAGCGCAAAGTGGGGAGCCTCTGCGGTTGGGTGACAGGTGACTCGGAGACACCTCCTTTTACACAGGGGGTACAGGCAAGGGAACAGAACACTCCCAGCACAGAGTTGATGGCCCTGGGGAGCACGGTGACAGCAAGGGGCCTGCGGGGTCTGGAAAAAGGGGGGCCACTCTGACCTTCCAAAGGTGTGCGCTCTTGGAGGCCAAAAGACGACAGGCAGGCTCCGTGAGGGTGGGGACCGACCCTTGCCGAGGGCACCGGGCCGGGGAGAGGACGGCCCGCCGCAGCGCGCCACAGTGCGGAGCCTTCAGGTTCAGGCCATCCTGTGCGGTCACGTTCCGTGTCTGAGCGTGTACAGCCACCACGCAGCCTCCCCGGGCTGGCCAGGTTGAGACTATGGCCCCTTCTTCATTCATTACATACATATATATGTAGCTGAATTCTAATACAGGAGTTACACGGATCAAAATGTGGCCAGGCTGTTAAATCGGAAAAGGCCACACACACCAAGTGAACAGAGGAAAGAGGTGAAGCCACGGTCCAGACACCTGCAGGCAGACCCGACTCTGCCGCCCTCTGGTCTAAGGTTCCTTTCTCAGCTCTCAGTTCCACTATTTGTCATTCTGTTTCCTCAACAAGGCAGACAGAGGAGGACGGGAGGCTGTTTACCAATTTTACTTCCACTTGTGCACAGTGTCCCTGGCCTTGGGGAAGGCACCCCCAACCCCGTGTGCTCCTGACGGCTGTACAGGCCCACGAGCTGAGACAGTCTATTCACGAAGCGTGTCATTTAGGCAGTTTCAGACACGCTCCCATAAACTAAGTAGCTGTTGCAGATCAAAAAACATTAGAATGGGTAACTATGAACACCAATGACAAGATTTTAAAATCAGTGAACAAAAACAAAACACCATGAGGCGCTCGCCTACGTTCTGGAAGCTGACGTGTCCAGGCATCCTGCCTGTCGCGAGGCAGACGGCTGCACCCGCTCACCACGGACCAAGCCGTCATCTCGCTCTTTACATTAATTATGAATAAAACCTTTTCTTTCTAATACTTTTATTGGCTTTTTAATGTATAAAATTCCAATGACTGAATCCCAAAATAGAAATATATTTCCCATCCATAAAGTCAATACTGGTTATATATATGTGTGTTTATAAAATTTTAGCCTTTTGGGAAAACTTATAGGAGTAGGTATAGTAAAAGGATTTCGTACAGTACTTTTTGTTCAATTAGGCTGATTAATAATCATTTTAAATTTTAATACAACACCAATCATACCCCCAAATCTCCCAGGCTCCCACTACATCAACACCAGTCTAAATTCAGAAGAGTTACAAATCTGCACTCATTTTGAAGCAAAAAGGACACCTCGCTCCCCAATGAAGAGGTAAGCTCCTAAACAATTTTATAGAGCCTCATTTATTTTTCCTGATTAGTCTATTCCCTGTTCTGAAAGTCTTTTAAATGTTATCTGAGAATTCTTTAAGTTTAGGAATATAGTTTGTATTTAGCTGACATACTGTAAATTCAGACAAGCACCTAAAAAAATCCACAATTAGTGCAATAAGAGGAAACAATACTTTAAGTCATTGCTTCCCGGTACAAATGAAACTAAGGTTACTAAATGCCAAGTTTCATGTAAATATATAAGAATTTCCTACTTTGCTTTCCTGAACGAGAGCAAATATAAAAATAGTTTAACTTCCGGTTCAGGAGGGCACATGTTCCTATTAGCCTTGTTTTAACTGAAAAATGTTAGCCACATTTAGAAAAAAATAAGCTTACTGAGAATATATATTAGAATATATATTTCTATAAAGGCCACATGAAAGTACCGACTCTCTTCCTCGTGAGCGCAGCACATGCCGGAGAGGTTACCGACAGTCACTCTAGAAATGAAGACACTTCAAAACGCGGGTTCACCCGCGGGGGCTCCACACGCGCCTCCGCGCGCCGCCGCGTCCTCGGGACACTGGCCCGGGGCGCACGGCCGCCGTCACGGGTCCCTGCTCTTGGCCGCACTGCTCTCCCCGCCCTCGGCCTGCCCGGCCTGCCCGCCTTTCGGGCCGGCCCGCGCTCCCCCTGCTGGGCCTCCCCCCGCGGACTGATCGACTATCCTGTAGTCCTCCAGGATGGTCTGTCCCGTCTCCTTGGCCGTCTTCTTCACCATCGCTTTGATGCCGATGTTGTCCAGGTTGTAGGCGGTCAGGCCCACGTTGATGGCGGAATCCACCGCGTTGTGCGTCGCCTCCCCCGCCGTGTGTCCGTACCTGGGAGAGGCAGGTCAGCACAAGGACAGTGGAAGTTAACTGTAAGGTTCTCTGAACTCCTGTTTCCTAAGTCACACGATTAGCATGCAGTCGCTCAAAGCAGAGTCAAAGGCTAGGTTTCACTTTAATAACCTGAACACAGGAAAGAATGCAGTCACGCTGTACCAAGGCTGCCTTTTCTCCTTTAGCCCGACCTGTGTGGGAAAATACACTCGGGCCAGCTGAGATTAAGGTAACAGACTGTTTATGTTGAAGAATAGAATATAAACTATGATAAAGGTTGCTCATCAGTCCCGAGTTCCCGTCTTTAGCTATCCCTTCCGGAAACACAAGACCCAGTGCCCCAGGAAGCCGCTGCGCACGCCGCGCGTCCGGAGCCGTGATGAACGCGCTCAGTCCCCCCCAAGTAGACTGGCTGCGTCTTTCAAGTCTCAGGACTCGGGCATGTCTATCGACACATAATCTCCAACACTGCCTCCCCCCACCCCCCAGGCCACGGCACACACACCGGCCGCCCTGCTGATCTTTGACCCCACCGAGCACACCTGTGCCGCTCAGGACCTTTGTCCCAGCTGGTATGTGCCTGGCCCTGTCTCATCCCGGGCGTTCACCACGCCGACTGCGTCCCCTGCCAGCCAGCTGTGACCTCCTCGGCACGGAAGCCAGGGGCACGTCGTCCGGGCACATGCCGCGCCCGCCCTGCCGCCCCTCCCGCCGCTGGCCCGGGCGCAGCTGCTGCTTCTGCTGCGCGCAGTCTCACTAGTATAGAAGCCCCGTTAAAAAAAGGGGCCCCTTGCGTCGGTCGCTCACGTGGCCTGCGCGCCTCCGCGGTGCCTGGCGGGACCAGCGAGGCACCACACAGCCCCTGCCCCGCCCTCCTCGCGGAGCGTCAGGCGCACCGCAGGGGGCGGGGGCGGGGCCGACCAAGCCCTAGACGGAAGTAGTTGTTGAACACAATTAGTGTATGTTGCACGCCGTTTCTATGAGAAAAAGGAGCTTGAGGTCCTGTACGAGGACACTAGAACGCGTCCTGTTGGTTTTACTCTTCACCTTTTTCTCAACCCCAGGCTTTCCCAGCTGTTCTCGCCCACAGGTTTCCCGACGGGGCCGCTTAAACATGAAGAACCGCCGAAGGCGACACCGCGTCACGCTCTCCAGGACGCGCTGGAGCGTCCCAAGTGCTGCGCGACCCGGACCCCGGACCTGTCCTTCACCAACCCCTCCATTGCCACTCGCCTGGCCTGGGGCAGGCGCCCCGTAATCTCCGACCTCGGCTAGAAAAGTGACGCCACCGAGCCGCGCCCCAGATGGGGATTCGCTCTGTCCGTGCCCGGCAACGGGTACGCGTGGACTACCCCTCAGCGCGACGTCTAAGGCCAGTGGCGAAGACGCCGGCCCGCGAAGCAGCTTTGGAGACCGAACGAAGGGCGAGCTCAGCGCGCGCGCGCCGTGAGGACGGCGGGCTGAGCCGACCGCGTGAGCCTGCGGCCTCGCAGGGAGACCGTCGGGAGGAGAGGCCGCCGGAAGCGTGTGATGGGATCTTGTCCATGGAAGTTGGGGGGAGAAACCTAAGAGGTGAAAAAGACTTCTTTCCAGCCTACAGACAACACAAAACGAAGGCTCCCGTGACACACTTGAGAGCCCGCAGCCACGGTGGAGGAGAGACTTCAGCCCAAGTCAAAATCGACGAAGTGAAAGGAAGTCCTCAACTTTAGGGGCAAACATCAAGGGTCCAAAAATAAGATGCAAGTTCAGATTTTTAAATAAAAGGTTCATTTAAAACCCCACCTCGACATGGGGCACTAAAGCAGGCGCCACTGGAAAGGCTCACCAAGTGCCACCAGCCGCGGCCGTGTTCCCTGCTCACAGCACCCCTGGGCGCCGGCCTGGGCCTGGCCCCGGGCTGAGACACCCCCCGATGCACGAGGGTCTGGAGGTCACACTATGTGTGAAACCGTTATAGGAGCTGAGAGCATTTAAAGGACAAGAGAAGTCACCCAAGGGTGTGACGATGGTGCTGAGGCACCTGTGTCATTAGCGGCAGACGAGAAGGCTGCTCCTGCGCAGCCCGGGAGCGTGTTCCTCGGAGCGGGTGCTGGGCCGTCCGACACCGGCCGCGAGCCCCCCGCCTGCGGCGGGCACGGCCCCCTTCACCCAGGGCGGGGGCGGGGCGGGGGCGGTTCATTAAAGTTCTCTAAACAAACCAACGAAACACTGTACGTTAAAAGAGTAAATTCCTTATAGGGAAATATTTTTACTAAGCTTATTCTTCACAAATGTGTGTTCTAAGATAAACTATTACTGGAGGAAAAGAATAAGCCTAACTTGCTTAAATTATCTCCTCTAAACAATGTAAACTGGGAAACAAGGTCCATAGAGGTGAATTTAGAAGCTGTATACAGAGATGAATTATTTAGTAGATAGTAGACTGCAATTAAATACAGTAGGTTTAAATTACTTATTGCTTTTGTTTCTGTAGGTCTTCTTATTCCTGAGCCTAAAATACGACAAAATATTAATGTAACTGACAAAAATAGTCCTCATGAAGTTCCTATACATTCACCTGAAAGTTTTAAGAGAGGAATTAATTACAGAGATCCTCGGGCAAACCATTCGTAATCAATGAACATGGTCCCGAATCATAATCAAAAGTGTAAGACACAGAATACAGCTCTCTTAACACAATCTGCTTCTAGATGCGTCTAAATGAAAAAGACAGCCCTCCGGATCGGCTCGCACCACCAGGAATCAGATGAGGAAATCTGCATAAGACACTTGTTTTTCCTCCTGAGCAGAATATACAGAGAGTTAAGGTAGATTTAAAATAACTACTTGGGAGAATAATTTACCACAGGTCATAAAAATACACATTTTTATAATTTGTATTTAATACAAGTGAATGACAGTAGAAAAACAAATGCTCACTCTAGCAACTATATTTTCATAGTGTAAATAAAACTCAAATGTAAACGTCAATTTACAATATGTATATCCATACATGTAAATAAATACCAATTTTTGTAAGTAAATGAGAACAGAATTAAGTGAAAGAACAACTAGCTTTTCCATTTCCTTAGTGTTAAGTGTCTGGATTTACACTGGCAGGTTCTTCTCTTAAAGGACAGCTTCTTCCTCCAGGCGGGACTGGGAGGAACGGGGTTGCCGGGACCGCCCCTCCTGTGTTCCCAAGCTCCTACGAGCCTCTGCTGAGAGTCACGTGCCCAGTCCTCAGAAACGCAGGCCTGCCGAACTAAATTCCTCGCCTGCTTTCTCACTCCATGTGTCTTTGGAAGAAAGGGTTTAAAAAAGAGCACTATGCATCCGAACAAGAACACTCCATTCAGAACCGCTGCTAACATATCCTGTTCAGATTAGGTTCTCTTCACTAAGGAGCGGAAATACAAAACCTACACCGAACCCTGTACCTCCTTAGTTAAGTGAACCCCCCCTTTAATAAAGCTCCACTTAGTGGTGCAGAGACAAGCTTTTCTTTTCATTAAAGTAGGAAGTGGACAAACCCAATAAAGCACTTGCCACCTCCTCCTCTCTAGTGTGACCACCTAATCATCTGTGCTAACAAACGACACTGTTAGCCTAAAAATAATTCACTTTTGCCCTGAAGGCGCTTCTGACCTCCTCCTGCTCTCGCAACGAAAGCAGCTGTGTTTCCCAAGGGTGTGGCAGCTGCCCGGCGGCCGCAGAGGCGGCACAGAGAGCGCCCGCCCGAGCGGGGGCCGCCCAGAGCGAGGGGGGCGGCAGGCGTGGGCTCCACGGAGACCCTCAGACCCACGCCGTCGTCTTTTCCCAATCTTTTGGTAGAAGTGACACTCCAAGATGCCGTGCCACACTGCTGTGACTCCCAGGTACGCTGCCTCAGGCCGAACACGTCAGAGCCAGGCCAGAGACCAGGCCGGCGCGGTCCAGGGCGTAAAGTGGCCGTAGGTGCTGACCCCGCTCGGCTGCCCCAGCCCGCGTGGGGGGGGGCACGCGCCAGCGCCACGTTTGGCCCCGCAGGCACCGGCCCACTGCCACCCCCACGCTCCCAGGCGGAGACCTCCCGGCAGCGTCGCAGCTCCTGCTGGGGCATCCTCCGCACCCGTGACCCAGGGAAAGCAGCACGCGCCGCGACCGTGTGAGCTCACAGTTGTCAGGAGATGGTCAATGCACACAGCCACATGCTGAGAACACCATTAACGTTGCTCTTTCCTCTTTTAAAAAACCTTACATATTGATCGCTTCTTGGCCTTTTGGCTAAGATCAAGTGTAGTATCTGTTCTCATCAGTTTAAAAAACATTACATATTAAGATCTAAGCTAATTCAAGGCTGAGAAAACAACTCAGGCCCTTCACACACGCTTTACTGCCCAGGCCTCGCTCCCTCCAGGCCCCCGTCCGGGGACGGAACAGGGAGGCAGAGCCGCACGGCCCCGCTCCGGGCCTGGCCCTGCCGCCCGCTGCCCGCCGCCCGCCTGCCCGCCGAGCCTGGCAGGCCTCTCGTCTCTGTCCCGCCTCTCCCACACGAGACAGGGACACACCGCTTGTCCTGTCCCAGACAGACAGACAGCGGCAGACGCACACGGGATGGGACCCGAGTTAACGTTCGCTGTACACAGAAGCAGCGAATATTAACAAAGTACAATAGTTCAACTGAAATTCACGTTTTCTTCATCAAAATTATAGGCGAACGTCACCCATCAAGAACATGCAATTAATAAAGTATACAAAACTCCCCAGCTTTTAGAAATAAACCCATTTTTTGCATTAATGGCGAACAGATATCTATAACGACTTGTATAGAAGGCAGACACCACAGTAATTCTATGCATTTGTTCAAAATCTTGTCCTCCTTACTTGAGAAGATACCCGATGCCTCACAGGAAGGACTACACAACTGCTTTAACGGTCCTGGACTTACAAACGCTGCGGGAAACCCAGCCGCCAGGGTGCACTCAACCTACTTGTGCCGGACGGTCTGCACCGTCTCCGCGGAGACGTTGCTCACGATGCACTTGGCTGCGCACTCCAGCCCCTGCCAGACCGTGGAGAACCCTGCGGGCACACGGGAGAGGGCGTGAGCCGGCGCCGCGGCAGGCCTGGCCGCGCGGCCTCGGCCCCACCCCCGTGCTACCTTGGACGCTGCTGGCCGCCACCACCATGGCGCCGTCCAGCGGGGACTTCCCGTCCTTGTCCTTCTTGAGCGACTCGGGGACGAGCTTGCCGCCGTGCCTCTTGACGTGCGGGGCCAGCTCCCTTCCCACGCAGGAGGCCACGCTGCAGACTCCGTCCACTGGCACAGCCACAGAACAGAAGAGAACAGAACAGAACACTGAGCAGCGTACTCTGCCCTCCTCCACCGCTGTGCTTAGCGACGTCCCCACGCGAGGCCCCGGGCTGCTGTCCTGCGGCAGGTCACCGCTCCTGTTTGAGGACGAGAACCCAGCTGGCTCTTTCTCAAACGAAGCTATTCTCTGGTTTTCCGGTGTGTCTGCTGAGCCTGTGGGTGTTTTTAATCCTGCCTCTTAAATGTGTGGTGTTCTTGGCAATTTGCGTACAAGAAAACGATCCACCCTTTCCCTCTGACCGCGGCGGGGCACGAAGCGCACGCCCACCTCGCAGGGTTCCCAGCTAAGCGTTCTCTGCGCACTTTTTCTCCGTATCTGCAAATATCTCACTGGACTAGTGACAAAGTATTTAAGTCTACCTCAAAGTAAACAAACCAGAATCTGATTCAAAAGAAGGCAACACCAGAAAGATAACCTTACAGAATTTACAGGTAATCCGTTGAGGAGCTGTCTTCCTGTCTTAAAATACCGGCTTGGGAGCTGCCCACGGAGAAGGGGGGCGAGGGGCTGGGGGCGCGGCCTCGAGGCCGAGGCAGAATCGCTCCGTCACCTTCCCTCTAACAAACGTCCCCGCCCTTGGCCGTCGGCGGCCCGGCAGTGAGCAGCCCTTCAAAGAACACGCCACATTCGGGGACAGCCAGCACGCGCGCAGGACCCTCCCCCCTCCAAGGACAGGCCCCGTCCTCTCCGGCACGGTCCATGCGGCCGCCCGGGGACCTCCCACACACGCAGGCCTCAGGCGGCGGCTGCACCAGCTCAGGGACGCGGCTGTGGCCTCAGCTGGTGGCACCTGGTCTGCGGACGCCCTGCGAGGGAGAGCTCCGTCCTGACTCTTGGCCCCTCAGGTCGAACCACCCGAATGGAGCGCTCAGACCCACCCGCGTTACGAGGTCACTCTGCATCTCCCCGGGAAGCAGCAGAGCCGCGCGCCGCGTTACCCAGGAACTGGCTGACTCTGGCCGCGCCGCCCGTGGCCTGCTTCGCGATGTGCAGCCCCCTGCTCACGGCCGGGCTCACTTCCACCGGCTTCTCTTCGGGCTGGATCCGCTCTCGGAGCTTGGAGGCGCCCTTCTGGATGGCCTTGCCGGTGAACTCCGCGCCTTTGACCAGGCCCCAGCTCACCCAGGAAGCACCTTTTCAAAGAAAATGTCAAAGTGCACAAAATTATAGGCTGATTATACCTTTACACCCTTTAGTAACTACCAAATCACCAGGGAAAAACCCCAGGAACTTCAAATACCCGACTCCAAGCGCCCCATAACCTCTCGGGCCCGCTCCGCCCGCGTGGTCCCTCTCCTGCCTGGGGCACCCACGAGTCCTGAGCACAGCCACCTTCCGCTACAGCGCAGGCCGCCCCACGGAGGGGTCCCGCGTCACGCCTCGCTGCCCCCGACTTGCGGGCCCCTCCGCTTCCCGCAGCACAGTGCACTGGGGCGGAGTCAGGCTCGCGGCGCCATGACGGTGGCCTCTGGCTAGAGGACCCGGGGTCCCCGTTCTTTCTGCCCTGCGCCAGGCACTGTGACCCCCGACCCCGGCCCCTGGAGTCCTTCAGGGTGACAGACACCAACGGCACAGGCTGGCACCCCTGGAGCCTCCGCCAGACACGCCAGCGCAGGACACGCACCTGCCTGCGTGAGTCTCCGGGCACAAGGCGGGGTCCTGTCCCTCTCAACGCTGAACCCCCACCTCTGGCCCTCGGCGCTTTTTAGCTTCTAACAGACACCTGCGTGGCAGAGGCACGCGTGCCCCAGGGGCGCACGGGGACGAGATGTCTGGAGAGGGAACTGAGGCCCGACGGCGTGGCCGTCCCGTGAGGGCGGGCACCGGCCCCCGGCTTCACTCTTTCAAGGGTTGATTTTAACTGTTACACTTACATTTTTAAAAACTGGTTCTTTCTATCTTTTCTTCTTGTCTGAGGCAGCATTTTGATCCGGGGCAAAATAGTTCGTTAGGTCCTAGCAAACTGGCATGTTTCACACTTGTTTTAGGTGGTTCGTTTTTCATGGTGAAGGTTTCCTCTGCTTTTGACACCTCTATTATTTTCACGAATTTTTACTGCAAGATGGAAACCTGTATCGATGGTCTTTTAAGTAACTGGCTTCCTGAACGGTGACTGGCAATGTTTTTTAAAACTAAAACGGCCGGTCTAAACCTGAGCACCGTTACAGCTGAAAAGCTAAAACATTAACCAACCAAAGGGAGACGTACGTCGGTGCCAATCGTCCTGGTTTTAAAGCAGCTGAGCCAAAGCCTCGCTCAGCACAACCGCGCGGCGGGCCACCGCCCCAGCGGCCAGGCCGGGACCGCGCCTTCGCCGGCCTCCGTGGCTGCGCGGTCAGCCAGGGCCGCTCTGCTTCCCCACAGACGACAGTGTCTTAACCACTTCTGGTGCAGGAGGGGAAGGGGGAGAAGACACCAAGGACTAAGGGGGAATTTCCAAGGGGACGGAAAGTAGCTGGTTATGCGTCCAGGGCAACATGCGCGTGCGGGGCTTCCTGGCGCCTTTCCCCGCCAACCTTCCCAGGGGTGAAGCAGAGCGGCCCCGAAGAACCCCGCCTGCGCGGCGGCACACGATGGCCTGAGCACCAGCCCCTCCCGCTCTGTGCGCCTGTGGATCGGCTGGTCATTTAGGGCCGAAACGTCAAATACCGCCTTCCCGAGGACGCTCTGACAGACCCCAAAGTCCCACAGTGAAGAGCAGAGGTCGCCGTTATGGCCGCCGCACCTGTCAGAATGTTCTGGGCCACCTTCTCGCTCCACTCCGGCAACTCCTTCGCTTTTTCTTCTGTGACGGGCTCGTAGGGGACCATGTGACTCAGATTGAGTTCCTCACTTGAGGCACCTTTAGCCTAAATAGCAAACACGTTTCAAAACGTGACACAGTGAAGTCCTAAGAAGAGAAAACCTACAAGGCTTATGTGATAAAGTATTAGGCCAACACACACTAGATTAATTAATGAAGGCACCCCCAGCCGGCCTGGCTACCAGCACATTCCACGGCACAGAAGGCAACACGCCAGGAAGCCGAACGCCCGCCGGGCTCTCCCACGCCCGCCCGCGGCCGCCGCCGCCGCGGAGGTCGGCACCCTTCCTGCCTGGACTGCGAGTTCGTTCTCGGCGCCAGTCACTGCCTGGGCACCCGGCTGCGCGGGGTGCTCGGCCAGGTCAGGCGCCTTCTGTCGAGCGACTCAGCCACCAAGGAAGGATGTAGCCAAATACACTGGTTTTGACAGAAATCAAGTCAGAGCAAGTAAAAACATACAAACACAGAACCACCTGCCATTCCATCTGGATAGAAACGGGGACACAAAAACGCCTGTGTTTGCTAATCCAGCGGTTGTCACGAGAGCTGAGCCAACACTCAAATCTCAAAGCTGACCTCCTTCATCCTCAGGGTTGAGGAGCCAGCGAACGCAGGCCTCGTGCCAGAAAACCACTTGCAAGTCAGACTGCCCGGCACAGATACAAGGAGAGCCTCACTTGAAATATAAAACACTAAAAACAAAACAGAAACTTCTACACAGGGGAAAAACCACTCACAAGGAAAAACTAAGTACACTACACACTTAACAAAGGATTTGACAATAGGCCAGTATCTCTGGAATACACAGCACTCGCAGAAACTGAGCCGACCAGACGAGCAACTCAGTAATAAAAATGGTGAAAGGACCTGAACAGAGGTCACGCACACAAAACAAAGTTCAAGGAACCCGTAAGCAGACGCTCAGCATCACTCACGGCAAAATCCACGCGGACTAAGACAGCGCAACGCAGCGGTCCCCCTGCCCGGGGCCGCCGTCCTCACAGGCTGCTGGCCGGGGCGGCCGCGGCACAGCCCTCAGGGAGGGCAGCTCGGCCCCATCTGTCAAAGCTGCAAGTGCGTTCGCCTTGTGGCTCAGTGACCCCACTTCTACGAATGTATCTGATGAACAAACGTATGATCCGTGGATCTACAAGGTTATTGGCTGAAGTACTGTTTATAACGGGAAAAAATGAAATCATGCCAAATACCTGTCAATAAAAACTATCTGTCAGTAAAAACTTGATTAAAAAAACTATGATATTTCATACATTGAAATACAAAAACTTGAGAAATTCTCTTACTTACTGACACGGGAAGATCCCCTCAACTTTTACCAAATAAAACGCAGGACAGCCTGTGTGCTGTCTTTTGTAACGAGGGGGAGAGGAGCCGCGGGTCGTCTGTACTTCTCTGTCCCGAGAAGCCCAGTGAGGACCGCGGGCGCGTGGCAGCCGGCGGGGCGGCGGTGGGCGTGGACCAAGGGGCAGTAAAGCTGCTAATGTACCTACTTCTTTACACAGTTTCACTTTTTCAGACCAAGATGTTAAATTTTTTAAAAATGAAGTTGTAAATAATACGGAAAAATTCCCAGATACACTGTGAAGGAAAAACCAAAGCGCAAGGTAGTGTGCGTTACATGCTGCCATTTGTATTAAACATTATGCGTATGTGTATGTCCACTTAGATCCACGCAAAATAAAGGGGTACGACGTGTATCTGCACGTGCAGAAAACACGCCTGGAAGACCAGCGAGAAGCAAACAACGGGGGAGCCGGGGTCTGCGAGCCCTGGGGACGGGCTCGGGGGAGCTTACCTCGTGCCGTGTATCTTTTCATAACTTTCAATTTTGTGTGTGGGTGCGTTAACAAAATTTTTTAAAATAACTATTTCTTGGAACCGTTTGGATTCTGAATGTCCTCACGAAGCCTGAGGCGTTCGATGTAAACCACGGCGACCCTTTGCAAGTGGCTGCAGAGCACCCGGCTGATACCCATTACTTCCGCAGGTCATTACTGAGCGCTTACAACGCGGAACACAGCGACCAACGACGCCAAACCGCGGATTCGCTACCCACACAGTGCGTTTCCTTCCTTTATACCCGCTTCCATGACTACTTCCGCCTAGAATGCCCTCGAACCTGCTATTCGCGCGGCCAGCCCCTCCGCCGGCAGGACCCCTCCGGCCTCCCGCGCCCCCGCGGCCACCGAGCCGCGCCCCTGGGCCAGGCCGGGCTGCTCCTCAGGCAGGAGGCGCGACCTGGCCGCTGTGAGCCTGCGCGCCTTCACCCAACGGTCACACGACAGGAAGCACCTCTGTGAACCTGTCCTCCCCGCCAAACCGTCCATTCCCTCAGAGGGTGAATGGACCCTTTGCCACTCTGCTCGGCATTCTAGCCCTTAACAGAGACGGACCACCTCTAATCCAGATTCACCATTTACAGCGTATCCCACACTCGGAATCTAAGAAATGAAGGAAGAAACTACTGAGTAACTGCGCGCTCTCTCAAACAGCCCGTTCCGCCCCGACGCCCGCCCACGAAGAAACAAGGAGCTGAATGAAAATGGCAGTGCAAGGAAAAGCACCGCAGCCCCCGTCTCGGCGTGTACGGGAGGCGGAGACACCGCAAACGAAACAGTGCGTGCGTCATCAACATAAATATAAAAATCTTACAAACAGTTGCAAAAAAAAATCTCTCTCAAAACTTGGCATATCTTTTTAAGCACTTGAAGTGACAAACACTTGGAGAGGGACCACTCAGGCCCCTAGTCACACATGCCACTCCTCCACGCCACTGACACGGGCAAAGGGCACCCTTGGTTAGCGCGCGTGCATGCACACATACATACACGCATGCACACATACATACACGCACATACGCACACCCAGGCGCTCTCGGTAGCACACGCACCTTTTTACCCCGCTTCCCCTTCTGCCGCGCGTCCTTGCCGCCCCGGTCCAGGGGGGCGCCTGCCTGCCTCCCGTCGGACCCACCGGCTTCCTTCCGCGGCGGCTCGGCGGGGCTCCGGGCTCGGCCAGGGATCTGGAACTCGTCTTCTCCCTCAGCCCGGTCCCAGTGCGCCTAGGAGGGAGAGGACTCAGCTCAGCTCACACCCGGCTCTTCGGTGCCCTCCCCCCACGCCACCTGGTGCCGCGCCCCGATCGCGCCCCCGCTGAATGCCAGGGTCTGGCGCCTCCCTCCGACCGCTTCTGTTTCACCTCATCACCAAACCTCAAACCTCCGAGTTTGAGGGCTACGCCTAACTTCCAAAGACAAGGGATAAAACTTACAGCAGTTTGTTGGTGTAAGTTATCATTAAGTCAGATGCAGCTACACTTCAATTTAATTATATAATAATGAGTAAGTTTTAGGAAACACACGTAAGACTAAGTTTAAAGGCCATTAACAAAACTCATGTCCGGTTTAACTGCTCTGCACTGTTCGAAAGCTGATGGCTGGGTTTTTTGGGGGTTTTTTTTTTTGCACCTAATGCTAAAGGTATAAAAGGCATTCTGCGAGCACACACTTGCAGAGAAAATACTTAAGAGTGAAAAAGGTCACAACTATAGCTAGTAACTGGCTCTTGTTTACGGCTGGAGCCTGGGACAGCAGAGCACGCTGAAAACAACGTGCAGCCAAGAAACAAGCTCCCCAGGGAGGGGAGCAGGTAACCCAAACGTCCGGTTCCCGTCTTCCCTGAGGCCCGGCGGGGGCAGGGGCGAGGGGCCGCAGGTCCGGGTGCCGGGGAGAGGGCCACCTCGCCCCGCCAGGGAACGCACGGTGGGGCTCAGGCTCACACCCTGCCCGCCGCCACGCCCAGCGCCCCCTATGGGCGCAGGACACAGGGGGGCGCACGCCCCTCCGCGGGGGCCGCGGGAGGTGTGAGCAGAGGCCAAAGGCCCGGTGCTGGCTGTGGTCACCGGCCACGTCACTCACACACTGCGCACAGCTAATGCGGAGGCGCCTGGGACCTTCGCTGAGCCGGGGCTGGGCTCCCCTGACCTTTGACCTTTGACATGCGGGCAGAGCTGTGCGTGCACTGTACATTTCCTGAGAAAACAGGAACCAGCCTTTCAAAACTGGGATCGAAGGGAACTACAGTTGACCCCTGAACAACACAGGCTGCAGCTGCTGGGCTCCCTCACGGGCAGCTTTTCTTCCCCAAATACTGTGACTGTCCCTCCGGTCAAGAGAGCGGGGCGGGTGGGCGCTGCGCGCCCCTCCTCCCAGGCCACACCAAGGGGCAGCTCGTAGACGAGCCCCCCCGACCCCGGGGGCCACCCGACGCCCGGCTGGACGGACCTCCTGGAACTGCGGACGAAGCAGCCGCTTCGAGGCGGGCAGGAGGGGCAGCGATGCAGAACAGGCTGGCCCCAGGCCCAGGGCGGGGCTGCGCCTCGGGAGGGACGTCTCAGGCGTGGGGGCTCCCCAGGGAGCACAGGCCCCCGCGGCCGCTGGCTGTGAAACGGGGGAGACGCGCCCCCCCGAGACAGAAGGCTGCGGCAGGCCAGGCGCCCTGCCAGGCCCGCGCATGGGCTCCTTCACGCTCCCTGGGCTCCAGCAACGGGGCAGCAGCTCATGAAACACGGGGGACACGGGGGAGGCGCTGGGGTGCCGGCTTCGGGGAGAGGGTGGGGACGGCGTTCTCCCGGGCAGAGCGCCGGCCGGCAGGGGCCCCAACCCTCTGCTGAGCCCCGTCGCCCACCTGGCGACCCACCTGAGTCTCCATCAACCAGAGGGACCGCCTCCTGCCCCACCCAAGGCAGGCACCTCCCGAGCCTCTTTCAGCAGCTGTCCCCACAGGCGGTGGCCTCGCCCGCCCTGCAGCCTCCCTGGAGCCTCTCAAGGGCCCACCCAACCCGGACAAGCAGCAAGGCCTCCCTGTGCCCTGGCCCCCTCGCCCGGTGGCCCTGCACTGGCCCTGGCGGCGGCCGGCCTGGGTCTGCAGCAGGGCCTGCCCCAGCCCACCGGTCAGCACAGGCGGCGCCCACCAGGCGGCCCTGGGTCCCGAGTCCCCCCAGAGCCAACGCGCCTCAGCCTGGCGGCGGGCTTCAGGCCACCCCAGCGCACCCGCCAACCGGCGCTGCCCGCAGCACCAGGCGGTGGGCTCAGCAGGCACCAGAGGCCAGGCGCAGTATGTCCTGCTCCGCAGGGTCACCTCGTGCCCAAAAGCTTGACTGTCGCGTTGTGGCCGTGCCTCCCCGGCCCGTCAGCCGGAGGGCCCAGCCGCCCCAGTGGCGAGCTCACAGCGACCTGGGCTCCGCGTGCGCGCGCCTGGCTCGGGCGACCAGGGAGGCTGCGCACTGGGCCCCCAGGACACCTGCCACCAAGGCCGGTCTGCAAGCCCGGGGGACGCAGCAGGTCTGCTCCACAGGACAGAACAGAAACGAACACAGGGAGGCTGCCAAGGTGAGGAGACAGAGAAACGTGCCCCGGATGACAGAACGGGACAAAACTCCGGAGAGAGAACTAAACAAAATGGAGACAAGCAAACTACTAGAGGCGAGTTCAAAACACGGGTTACAGGGATGCCCAGTGATCTCGGCGAGAACTTTAATAAAGGACAGGAAACACATACAAGGAAACAGAAATCATAACAAAGAACCAGTCAGAAATGGAGAACAACTGCAATGAAGACTGTGTCAGTGGAGTCAACAGCAGATTAGCTGAAGCAGAGGAGAGACTCGGTGATTCGAAACAAAACGTTCCTATCGGAACAGCAGAAAGAATCCAAAATAATGAGGACAGTTAAAGGGACCGTTGGGATAACACCAAGCGCAACATCAGTTTCATCGTACGGGCAGTAGGAAAGGGAGAGAGTGAGCCAGGGAGAGAGAACATACTTGAAGAAATAATGACCAAAAACTTCTGGTGAAGGAAACAGACACACAAGTCCAGGAGCACAGAGTCCCCAACATGACGGACCCAAAGAGGCCCACAGCTACACATCACGATTTAAATGGCAAAGTTAAAGATAAAGAGAGTCTTACAGTCAGCAAGAAAAAAGCAGTTAGTTACCCACAAGGGCGCTCCAGTAAGAACGTGAGCTGATTTCTCCACAGAAGCGTTTCAGACCAGAAGGGCCTGGCGTGAAACATTCATGGCGATGAAGAGCAGGGACCCGCAACCAAGGTGACTGCACCCAGCAAGGCTGTCGATCGAGAATCAAAGGAGAGAGAAAGAGCTCCCCAGACAGGAAAAAGCTGCAGGCGTTTACCTGCAGACCGGTATTACATGAAATGTTAGGAAGTCTTCTTTAACCAGGAAAAAATTAAAATATGACTAAGAAAATACTGCAAAGAAAAATTTCTCATGGACACATTATAAAAGCAGTGGATCAACCAACACTAAAGGCAAAAGTGGGACGATCATGTGCAATCACAACAGTTAAGGGAGATACACAAGGACACACACAAAAGTAGTAAAAAATTAATGACAAAGACAAACACGGAGGGGCTGAGCAAAAACGGCAGTGATTTCGGTGATTTTAGACTGTGTCCGAACCTAGGGGACCTTCAGCTTAAAACAGGCTACTGGGAAGGCAGCTTGGTACCTGTGGCGCACGCAGCAACCATGAACCAAAAATCTGTGGGAAATACACAAAAAAGTGAAGACGTCCAAGCACATGACAGAAAAATCATCAACATACAATAGAAAAGAGAGCAAGAGAGTAAGAAGAGAACAGAGGAGAACTAGAAAAACAATCCGAAACAATATAATGGCAGTAACTACATACCTACCTGTAATTACTTCCAACAGAAATGGATTAAATGCTCTCATCAGAAGATAAATGCACAACAGGTGGTTCGTATACACAAAGGAATACTACTCAACTGTAAAACATGAAACTGTACCATTTGTGACAACACGGATGGACCTAGAGGTTATTTGCTAAGTGAAGTAAGTCGGTCAGCGAGAGACAAATAGTGCATCACCTCATTTACACGTGGAATCCAGAAACAAAATAAGCAAACAAACAAGACAGAAACAACGTGGAGCCCTGGCCAGCGTGGCTCCGTCCCGATTCCCGGTCAGGGCACACGCCTGGGCTGCAGGTTCGGCCCCCAGTCGGGGCGCATGCGAAAGACAACCAATCAATGTTTCTCTCTCACATCATGCTTCTCTCCTTCCCTTCCTCTAATTAAAAAAAAAAAAAAAAAGGTTTTTTGAAAGAAAAAGCAAACAAGCACTCCCCCAGCGCTCAGGGTGGACTCCAGGTTTGCGGAGAGCAGCCCCGCAGCCGCAGGAGGCCGCCCTCCTCTGCCAGGTCACCGACGGCGACCCCCCGCCGGAACCTGACCTTGCACTCTGCGCCTTGCCCCGCGGTGCACGGGCGCCTCTGGCCGACCACCCACTCCCGGGGGAGCAGGCGGGCCCCGGAGGGTAGGCCCTGCGTCCGGGGTGCCTGGCACAGGCCCACGGCGCAGGGGCAATGGAAACGTGTCTGGGAAGCGAACGGATGGATGGCCGACACGAACTCGAAAATCCTCATTCATCCCCGCAGGCGCAGAGCGCAGGGTGTGGGTCCCGCCTCCTTGCGACCTGGGATGCCGGCCAGGCCGCGTGGTCCCCGCCCGTACAGACAGCCTCGGCCCGCCCTCCACAGAGTGGGTCCCCCAGGTGGGGAGCTCCCACACCTTCAGGGTAGCACCGGGTCACCCCCAAGTCCTCGCTCGACCTTCCCTTCTCCATCAGGCCCCCCACCATCAGCCTCTTTACGGGGGCACCTGCCCCACCCACACCAGGACCCCCGCCTCCCTGCTTTCCAGTGCCTTCTGTGGCTGGCTTGTGTGCACACGTACAGTTTGGAATTTGCCGTCCACAGTGACTGAGATGCTGGGCTTACGTGACAGTGGATTTCCATCCTGAGGGCAGCCACACAAGTTACCTGGAGCCGAAGGTCAGACATCTGCCGTAACAGGTCCTCGAAGAGCTCTCGGTCGTCCTCGGGCAATTCGGAAGACAGGACGACCCCCACAAAGCATCCCGCCGCTTGTAACATTGTGTCCGGAAACATGTAGGCCCCCGCCGTACATTTAAGAACCGGAGATCTATCCGGAACCAGCGGGTACAACCAGTCACAGACCTGGAAGGATTAGTTAAAACAAACAAAAATCAGTGAATAGACCTAGGTTTTCACCAAGGTTTTTAAATTGTTATACCAGAAAATAAGCACGTCAAGGGTTGAAATGCATCGTACCAGGCTTTATAGAACGATCAGCATCCACAAGCCCCCAATAAAAATCAGCCACTTACTAACCTCATCTCTCAGCGAACCACTCACAGGAGCTGTACTTTTAAAAAATGCTACTGTTCACCCGCGGGGAGTGGAGCCTTAGATGCATGAAGGTCTCCCCGCCACGCACATCACGCACCCCTTCGCGGGAATAAATAAAAGTCGAACCGCCTTCGGGTACTCCACACCTCCCCGCTCGTTTCACCCTCCTCGGCCGTGAGGTTGGCTGGTGGTGTGTCGTTAGAAACTGGGCATTCATGATGCTGAAGAACGAAGTACCCGAGAGAACCGACGCGACAGGGGTCACGACACAACACGGAGCTGTGCGTACGGGGTCACCCCCCGCGCGGACCCTGAGAAGGCAGGCGCCTGCCAACACGGGCTCCCGGCGGCCCGGCCCCGGGTCTGCCCGCGCCTCGCCCGCCACCTGCCCACCTGCACTGGGGCGGGGGAGCCCTTACAGAGGAGCTCCCGGGACCCTGTGGCGACCCACGGGAGCGAGGCTTCCCCGTCCCATCAGAGCTCGGCAGCTACGGCCCCTCCTCCTTCCCGACCCATCAGGACAGTGCTTCCTTGGTGCAGTCCAACAGAAAGGGTGCGGTCCTCGTCCCCACGCGGACGGGCTGCTCGGGGCCAGGGCGGGAACCTGGGTCTGTGACACAGCCCGCCAGGCGCCACCGGTGCCGCTGGAAAGGCGGGGCAACGCCGCGCGGGGCGGGGCCTGGAGGGGCGGGGCGGGGCGGGGCTGTGCACCACGGGCAGGGCGCTGTCGCAAAGCTGCTGGCTGTCGCAAAGCTGCTGGCTGTCCGCCTGGAGCGGTTTCTTCCTTCACCGCACCCCAAACAGGAAAGTCCTGTTGGCCATCAACGTGCGGCTGACACCATCGACTGAGAAGTTGACTCAAAACAACCCAGAGCTGCCCTGCCAGGGCCTCTGGGGCGGTCAAACTGTCAGAGCCGAGGCCGAAGCCCGCTTCTCGGAGATCTGAACTCACGCGCTGCAGTCAGGACAGCCCAGCGCACTGGCTTCCATCCAATCTGCCACTGACCACAATGTGTTAATAACTGCGCTCCTCACCCAGGACGCCGCTCTTCCTAACAGCAAGAAACTGGCCAGAACCACCTCTTATCAAAACGCTGCGTGGTGAACCTAAGTCACAGAGCGCCAGCGATCCCCCCCGGCAGAGGGACAATTCCAGTCCACCACCATCACCGACAAGGATCGGAGGTCTCGCCTCGGACTCTTTCCCCGGAAGTGCGTCGTAAACATTTGCAAATCCTTTTTCTTTTATGAGTTCCCTTTTTTTTTTTTTTTTTGCTAGTTTCAGTAGTCACTCTCCATCTTTTATCTAAGTCAAACTTCAGGCAAGTCTCAATAAAACTCAACTGCTACTGCGTCGTCCGAACACTGATACACAGCCATCTGCCATGTGCGACATGACTTCAAGTGATTCACGAACTATTTAAGTAGTTATGTATTTTAATATACATTAGAAAAGAAATACATCTTCCCCTCAGTTTCACAGTTGACACTGTTTAGAATAAAATTAGCGAATGAGATATCTAAATAAAAATATTCAAGTAATAGCAGAAGTATGGTGTTGACAAAAATGGTAAAGGTTATTTATACTGGAATGACTCAAGTCTGAAAGTGTGAGCAAGGTTTTTTATGATGCCATGATTCCTCCGGTGCCACCTTGACTCTCTGAACAGAGTATCCCCGAACCTCCTCAAACAACACGTGGCAGGCCTTCCGCGGGCAGACGCCTGGCTGACAAGCCCACCCACCGCGGCCCCGGCCCGGCTCATTGCCACGGGGCGCTCTCCTGGCCACGTGCCGTAACAAACTGCCATGTTTAATAGGCTCAAAAAGTAATTAAAACTAAAACCAAGAGAAAAATAGTACTTAGAAGCCCTAAAATTCTAAGTCTGCCTATTTAAAACCAAATTAATTTCTAATTTCCTAAATAGGCCAATAGTAATGTTTGCAGCCTAAAATTTATATCTAACTCCTAATACTTAGTTGGTTTAAGCGTTTGTTTTTTAGGACATACAAATATGTATTCGGTGAACAGGTAACTCCCTGTTAGGAGAGTGCTATAAACATGAGGCCATGCAAATGAGAGCCCCCTGGAGAGATGAATTAAATGCCGTGGCGTCCTTTCACTTGAGAGCTCCTTTCACTTGAGAGCGAGTCATTTTAAAGGCCGAGCTCGTGTGACCAGGCACCGTGTTTCTGACGTTCATCCCCCACCGCGTCTGCAGCCCAGGCCCCAGGTTTCTTAAATTCCACTGTGACAGTGCAGCTCAGTTACCAGATCACTGGGCACTGTTAGCTCTTCTCAGCCTCTTCACCACCCCAATCAATAACTCTACTCTCTTACCCTGGCCCGGGGGTTAAGCTGGTTGGAGCATCGTCCCATACGCCAAAAGACTGCGGGTTCGATTCCCAGTCAGGACACGGGCCTAGGTTGTGAGCTCAACCCCCAGTCAGGGCACGTATGGAAGGCACCATTTGATGTTTCTCCCCACCCCACTCCCTGACCCCTTCCTCTCTCTCTAAAATCAATAAACATGTCCTCAGATGAAGATTTAAAAAGAAAAAAGAAGAAATGCTGTCAAACACAAACATAGACATTCAAAGCCCATCAATCTCATGAGTATATTTAAAAGGAAGCAGAACTTAAAAATGACCTTTCTGCACTTACTGCCTTAGACACATTATAAACATTAACAAACAAAAACGATGCATTTCACACGCACTTCCAAGCAGGCTGCAGTCTCCTCGGCTTACCTGAAGGAACCCCGGCGGGCGGTTTAGGACCGTGTCCAGAGAATTATCCAGGAAGCGCACGATGCGCAGGTAGCCGGGATAGGAGGGCGCGCTGACCTCCCCGGCCGGGTTCACGAAAAAGATCTGCACTCCGCTGGGTATCAGAATCAGTTCATCGGCATCGAGCCCCAGGGTCTCCAGAGGCGGCGGCTGAGAATGATTTCTGTAGAAGTCCTCTCCGACCGAGGAAAACTCCCCGGACTCCGTCCCGTAGGACACGGTGTAGTGGCCCTCGGCGGCCTGCGGGGTGTAGGCGGGGGGCGCTTCTGCGGGGTGGGTCTGGGCCGGTGAGCACAGCGAGGGCGGCGCGGGGAGCACCCCTGCGCCTGAGGGCGGCGGCGCGCTTCCATTTACGGAGGCGGCGCGCGCCGGGGCCGAGCCGAAGGCGCGGGGCTCCAGGGAATTCCCCGCTGCCGCGGCGTCCTTAGGGGGAAACTCTGGGTACAGCTTGGGCACCTCCTGGAGGTCATTCCGCAGGGACGTGGCAAGGCCCTTCTCTAGGATCTCCAGCCTGGCGCGCACGTTCTGCAGCGTTTCTTTCATCTTCTGCTGCATCTGCCTCGCGCCTTCCCACCCGGGGCCCGCGCGCTCCGGGTCTGCGGCCGACACGCTGATTCCCCTGAGCAGGTGCCCGATTCCTTGCTTGTAGTAGTTCTTGGCTTCCTCCTTCTGGCCTAGCTCGTCCGTAGTCAGTCCTTTATTGACAAATAGAAAGGCCTTCTCATAGGCTTCCTTGATGGTCTTAATTTCGGCAGGCTCTCCATTTTGGGGCTCTTGCTCCATTTCTGCAAGACAGGGAATTCTCTCTCATTATCTTACTTCACGATTTGCCCACTTTTGATGACTTTCTGCTCCCTGGACACACTGCGAGGGGACAGGAGCCTCGCTGTGTCCTCCCCCAAGCCTGCTGCTAGCTCTGCTGGAGAAAAAGCACTTTGTATGTGTGCGCTGCAGGGATAGGTGAACGACGCGCCGGGCCCTAGGCCTCATTTTAACTAGAAACAGAGGAGAAAAGGCAAGGCAACTGCTGAACAACTTCCCTGTTCCCGTTCCTAGTAAGAGTTAAGTTTCCTATCACACATCTTTAAGGTTGGAACCAGAGTGTCATCCTAAAATTCATAATAAAAGCACAGGTTGTGCCCAGCTAGTTAAAAGGGAGGGTCAATCGCACATTGGAAATGACCGAAATGAGAAAAACTGGACGAAGCCTTCCAGTTACCTCGCTTCCATCGAAGAGTGGCAGGCGACTCCCACGCGGTCAGCCCTGCGCCTCCCCAAACTCCGGTGACCTGCCTCTAATAGCACAGCTGAAAAGGCGTAACTGTTCCTTTCATGAGAAAGAGGCATGAACAGCTACTTCACAAAAGAACATATTTAAATGGCACGTGAAAATCAACATGCTATTTTCCTGGGGAGATGAAGCAGAAACCCACCGCAGCAGGACCACACACGTGTCAGAGGGCAGGGGGGGGAGCGGGTGGCGCTGGACAGGCCACCACCACGCTCCCACGCACTGCTTGCCATGAGCGAGAGCCCCGTGGGGACTCTGGACAGCAGGCAACACCCATCAAAGCTCGCGGCCCCTCACTCCGCGGCCCAGCAACGCCCCTCGGCGGCGTGTAGCCAAGAGAAACATGTGAACGCACACATACCAGAAACACGCACAGCGAGAGTCACCGCGGCTTCATTCACAGAAGCCAAAACCCTGAAACAACTCAAGTGCTCCCCACGGAAGGGATCAACCGTGGTACGTTTATACAATGCAAGAGTCCGCACAAACTGAAAAATCAGTAAATAAACCAATGCCTGCAACCCTCACGAATCTCACCAACTGTGGGAGCAAAAGCAGCCAGATACGAAAGACGTAACACCGAGACCACATGATGTGTGGATGACTCGACACCAGTTGAAAACAGGCAAAACTAGTGTGTGACGACAGAAATAAAAACAGGGCTTCGAGGTGGCGGACGCAGGTTTGCGAGGGACATGAGAGGACTGTGTTGTATGAGGAAATGTTCTTTATCTTGATCAGAGTGATTCACAGAGAAAAAACAATCAGGCTATAAATGTAAGACTAGGGCGCTCTCTACACTTACGTTATCCCATAATTGAAAAAAGGTAAGAGAAGCCGTAACTCACGGGGAGGAGGAGGATGAACTGGAAAAAGGCGACAGTCAGTCAGACGAGTGGACACGCACAGGACAGACCGGAGGCAGCTGGGCCCGGCTGTCCAAGAGGAAGTCAGAGAAGCGGCCGCGTGGGGTGTCCCGCGCACCAGGCGACCTCCCCAAGGCTCGGAGCGGATGGCGTTCAATCCCCCCGGAAGCCGGGGCAGAGGGAGCACGGGAAACAGAGGGCTGACTGAAAGCTCATTTATGAATTAAGACTTGGCTCTCTCCCGCACCCAGCACCCTGTTTCTCTCCAGCCCCGAAGGAAGATTGAATGTATTCACTGAATAGCACAAAATAAACTGCCTTCGGGCAGGGGACTACCTGGCACAATTAAGGGTAAATACCAAAAACAGGAAGATTAAATGAAAAACTACCTGCTGAATACCAAGACCCTCAACCTTCTCTCCCCAACTTGGTTCTCCGAGTTGCGGCGGCAGGTACCTCTCCAGCAAGAAGGCTGGGTCACCCCAAGGAGGGACCCGTGGGGGACGGCGGCCCCAACTCCTCTCCCCGAGAATTCAGACAGCTGCCTCCTGAGAGAAGCCACCGTGGCCACGTCCTGCCCCGGGGTCCCCAACTAGCCTTCTAGTGCTCCTGTCTCCTATGTCAGGAGGGAGCCGAGGATCACACCCCGGGCGAGACAGACACCTCGTGATAAGACAAAGTAAGAGCCACGTGCTTTGGCTGACGGGGAGGTGCTCTCTGGAGGTGCCAGCGGAGGATGAGCTCCTTCTGTTCGGTAACGGGGTTGGTTTTAACTAGGCAACACCCGCTACCGTCTCATGAAGACAAATTCCCCCTAAACTCTCACTTTTCATATTGAATTATTTTATCAAAATCCGTCAGCCATTATGCTGCTCTGACCAACTATTACCACATCTAGTAACTCAATTCAAAAGAAAAATTCCTAAAGTCCTAAGAAATGTTTAAGACTGGTTTCAACTTATTAAAGATGTGTAAGACAAAGAATAAAAGGCTTTCAAACATAAATAAATTACATTAAGATAATTTCCAGGGGCGGGGGGTGGGGTGGTAAAAAAAGTACAATTTCAAGAAACAGGAACCAGGTAAAATGTCATGCTTGTTTAAAGTTGACAGTGATGCGTATAAATTTGCAACGTTACACTCCTTCGGATACAGTTGAGAGTGATGTGCCACTTTTATGCCATGTAAGTGTCAGCATGTGGGGAAATGCATCCTTTGCAGCTACCTGAAAGCATGGTGTAAAATGCTTTCAATCAACCTAAACATGTACAAGGGGGCAGATTTACCAAAAAAAAAAAAAAAAGGGGGGGGGTTCACAAGCAAATTAAAAGCACGAGTCCAACACCGTCCGCTAATGTGACCTGCAAACCCGCCCCCCGCCCCCCGCTGGCCTCTGGGCCCCAGAAGGCCCCTGGCTCACTACCTTCCGTGAACTCCTTCGGGCGCACTCACCACTGTGCGAAGTTTATATCGGATTTAGAAAATGTTTTACAAATACTGAGCAGCTTGCCCAAGGGCAGAGCCAGTATATGAAGACCTTCAAAGAGACAGGTTCCATTAATATTTGACAAGAAAACGAGATGAAATGTCTAATTGCAAAGATATCGCTGTCATTGCGCTTCCCAGGGGGGCAGTGGGAGGGAGGGGGAAGGAACTCAGGGTGTTTCTGGTAGAAAGGCGTTTGGCTTCAATAAAGCCTTCATAGGTAGCATTGAAGGCAGGACATAATTGCCTTGAATCACAAGTCAAAACCTGGTTCCAAAGACGGTGGTGCAGTTATTTTTTAAACTTTCTAATAAAAGAAGTAAAATGTATGCTTCAAACTAGCATGTGCGCGCGTGCACTTTAAAAGAGATTCAAGGGCCACAGTTAAATTCTGAACGAAACAGCTGGCTACTTAACGGAGTCCCATAAACACCACAGGTAGTAACCAGCATTCCAAAGGTCAACATCAGCAGCAGCCTTCAATAACGTAGCATGTCTCTCCCTACAGCGAGCAGGAGAAGTTGCTTTAAGGCCCTATCCGGCCCTTTATTAAAAATTAAAAACAAAACAGAAAACCAGCAGTCACTTTCCCAGATGGCTGTATGCATTTTCCTTTCGTGGCTTCCCACCCACTCTGGCCGGTCCAGTAAGCTACACAGGTAGGAGAAAAGCTTTCCGTATAAAATCGCCCACTGAGGTCCACTATTAGAAAAGTAGAAGAAATCAAAAAACACCTTTATTATTAGGGACATTTTTGTTAATTTTTGGTAGTGCTTTTGGAAGTTTCCAAGAAAAACTATTGCGAGCTTACATATTTAAGGCCACACTTCAGAGGTAACAACGATCTTCTACGCAAATTCATTCAATTACAACACAAGAAAGCCAACCTGGCCGATCCTCCTGGGACGGAGCAAAGCAACCCGCGACAACTGGGGCGAGGGCGGGGCCCGCGCTCAGCCGCGCGCGCACAGGGCGAGTCTCCAGCAGGGCGCATTCCAAGAAAAACTCGTTCTAGATCAGGAATCAGGTCGGAGGCCAGTGCCCCCGTGCTCACCCCTAATGAACAGGAACAAACGTACTCTGAAGAGTAGAGCCGCGCTCCCCCCACTCCCTGCACCGTGGCTGCTGGCTGCTGGCCGTTTTGTAAACAGAGCGGCCAGTGCGGGGTGGAGGGTGGAGAAATCCTGTGATTTTCGAGGCAAACAGCGGGGGCATGGCAGCAAGAAAGGTCAGCAGATGTTCCCGGAGGCCGCTACCCTACGAGCCGAGGCGGGAAGGGCCGTGTCCATCCAACAGTAAATGAGGGGAGGTTATGTAGAGCGCGGTGGCTCCTAACTTCGAGAAAGGGGTTAACCAAGAACAACTTCTCGAACTATTCTCTCCAGAAATTTCTCCCTGCGCTGAAAAGTTCAACTCAGTTTTAGGTAAAGGCCCCCCGCCTTCCCTAACGGCGTCCCGCATCCGCCTGCCCAGGCCTCAGGGCCCGGGGCGCCCCCGCCGCCCGCCCGCCGCCCCAGGCGCACGCAGGGGCCCGCGCAGGGGCGAAGGCTTCCCGCCGGCCGCCGGCCCACCTGTGCCTGCCAGACCGCGCGCTTCGGCGCCGCCCGCGAGGCTCCCCGCCGGGCCGCTGCGGCCCACCGGCCGGCTTCCTCCGGTGCGGCGCAGCTGCGCTCCCCAAACGGCGGCCGAGGAGCTCCGCGCACCGAACGCGCGCCGCGGCTCACAAAGCGCTCCCGGCCGCAGCTTCCTGAGCGCGCACGTCACGCGCGCGCCGCGCCCCGCCCCGCTCACGGCCCTCGCTAGGCGTCAAGGTCCGCGAGCACGCCGCCGCGCACACGTGATGTCCACGGCCGGGTCCCAGCCGGCGGGGCCTCGGTGATGTACACTGCGACCCTGTAAATGGTGTTTGGGGAGACGTCAGTCCTGGAGTCACCGTCAAACCCCCGGGAGGAGAAAAGGAGCGAGGGCGAAAGTCCCAGAGAGAAGCCTGAGAGCCAGCGGCTTGGTGCGCCCCCCAGCAGGGCCCCACCCCCACCCCCCGCACCGAGGCCACGTCCAGAGTCCCCGCGCCTGCGTACTGTCCTGCTCCCTAGCGGACCCGGGGCGGCCGGAGCGACAGGAGAGTGGTGGGCAGTGAGAGCTGCGACGGCTAGAGGGCGCCCTGGGCGCAGTGCGCGTGGGGGAACAAAGGCGGAGTCGCTCAGCTGTTCTGGAACCCCGTCTTTGTGACCTAGTAGCCAGAGATGCCCACTCCAGAAGCCCACGCACACCGGTAAACGTGTCTGTGCTAAGTCTGTAGCAATATGGTAAAGAATGTTAAATTCCTCGCTGCTGAGGATAAATAGCAGTTGTGCTGATACCATCGACGATTACGGGAGGCTGAAGGAGGAAATCAAAGTGAGCGTACTCTACCTTTCTTCAGCACTTCTTTGAAAATTAGTAAAGCGCTGTAGGTGACGGATTTTATGCTCCTGAACAGACCTGCCTTAATAAATTACGTACCTATGTGTAGTGACTGGAGCATCCAAAACTAGCTAAGGGACTTGTGTAAAGATGGCAGTCACTTACCTCCAGGTGAATTATCATTCCTCTCAATCAAAAGTAACGAACGCTGCGGCCCGTTGGGTGACCACTTGGGAGGCTTTTCAACTCGAAAGTTAGGACTTTGGGCAGTTCCCACAAGTCTCAGGCAATTCACGGTCAGTCATCCCAAAGAGAAAAACCTCCTAAGCAGGTATATGTACATTGATACAGAAGTTTTCAGTGGTTTTCCTCTTATACGCCTCCCCCCCGAAAGAATTCCAAAAAACTGGGCCTGTGTACCTTCTCCCTCATTTTTTAGGTTGATGGAAAATTTTCACCTGACTCACATAGTTTGCAAGGGATGCAAACTGTTTTATTTTATATCGACATTTTAAAATAAAAGTACATGACTCTTCTATGTAGCCATTCCAGGTAATTTGTGTGTAAAACTACTACTTTAACAACTTTTTCTTTAATAGGAAATTTGATGTAATTTCTTTTCTTCTTGAATTCATGTTTCCATATCACTTCAGGAATTTTCATCGCAATATAATATTTCTTTATTCTGGAAAGTCTTTTACTGATCACCTACCAAACTACTTTGAATTATAAGTATATAAATTTAAATCGAATTTTAAAATTTTGCAATAGCCATAAAGGTTAAAGTGTTTAAAATATAAAATTTCTATATGCAATACCATTTGATATATGGAAAACCCCAAAATTTACTACAAAGCTACTAAAACTGATCAAGTCCATCAAGATTTCAGGATAAAAGGTTGATATACAAAAACCAGCATATTTTCTATATGCTTACACTCCAAAAATTAAGTATTTCATTGACAACACTGTCCAGAAGAATAAAATTCTTGGGAATAAGTTTAACAAAGTGCGTACCAGATTTGCACCCCAAAAGCAATGACGCATCGCTGAGAGGATCTAAACACCCACACGAATAGAAAGCCCTTCCATGTCAGAGTTGTTACGATGACAATACTCCTCACATCGATCTACGGATGCAACACATTTCCTACCAATAGCACAGGTGACTATTTTGCAAAAATTGGCAGGCTACTTCTAAATTCATACGGGAAGGTAAGGGATCCAGAATAGCACAAACAACCGTGAAAAAGAACAAAGTTGGAGGACTTAAACTTCCTCATTAAAAAATTTACTACAAAGCTGCAGTAATCCGTCCAGGGTGTTACTGGCACCAGGACAGCCGTACACAGGAAAGAATTGATCATGTGAGTAGAATTCACAGCCCAGAAATAACCCCTCGCTTCCACTGACAAGTAAAAGAAACCAAGAAAATTCAATAGGAAAAAATATTTGCAAGACATGGGATGATTAGAAATCCATTCAAAAAGGTGAATTTGGGCCTACCTCGCATCGTACTCAAAAATTAACACAAAATTGATCACAGACCTACATGTAAGAGCCAAAACTATAAAACCCTTAGGAAAAAAGCCTGAGTAAACCTTTATAAACTTTGCCTGCATGCACCAAAACCCGTCAAATGGGAGAGGAGTTTGCAGCCAAGAAAGTACGGGTTTATTGGTTGAGGATATGGGGTCCAGCCCCGATTCCAGGGAACCTAATGCTCAAAGGCCTGGCTCCTCGAGGGCTTTGGGAGGCTGGGTCATACAGGCGGCTGCGGGAGCGGGGTCATGTTCTCCGCTGATTGGTCAGCGCCCAGGTGGGGGTCGCTGAGCATCTGGTCCTGTGGCAGCCAAGGCTGCGCTTTGTCTGCCTCCGGAAGGTGGGGTCCTTCTGCAGCAAAGCCGAGGCCTAGGTGTGCGCTCCCATTTGACTGACTCAGTGGTGAGCAGCCCCCGGCTTGTTCCCAGGACACCAGCACCTCCTTCCCCTGAGGGATTAAGGATGAAGGGAGTGGGCGGCCGTGGAGCAGGAGCTGCCGAGGTCAGGGTGCCCCGGGAGCCCCGTCTGAATCAGAAGGAAAGGACGGAAGGACACACGAAGTTTCTGCACACTTCCAATTTGAGGTAAGCAATGATTTCTGAGATACGATCCCAAAATAGAAATCAATAAAAGATAAAGATTGATCAGCTGTACTCCAGCAAAATGGAAACTTTTTTTCTCTCAAAAGGCACCCTCAAGAAATGGGAAATACAGCCCACAGGCTATGTATGAGAAGATATTTGCAAATCATTATATCTGACGTGTATTTAGAATCCAGGGGTGGCAAAAGTACGTTTACAGTTAGGAATATGCAAAGTTTATGCTGTGTTACGATTTATTAAATATTGTACTACTTGTATTACAACTGTAAAGCTACTTTTGCTCACTGTGTATATAAATAACCATAACTCAATAATTGGAAAGTAATGCAATTCAAAAGTGGGCAAAGGATTAGAATAAAATGTTTCTCCAAAGATATATACAAGTATCTAATTAATAAAAGGATTATGTGATATTTTTTATTTTGTGATGTCTAGTATGTGTCAGCTTTTTAAGTTTTGTAATTTTTCAAATTTATTTTGTCATTCAAGATCAACATGTGCTTTGGTTTCTCACTTCGTGTTTTCTCACGGAAGGCCGCCCTCACGGAAAGCAGCAAGCGGCTCAGCGCCCGCCCCGCCCCGCCCCGCCGCTTAGGCCCACTGCACCGAAGAGGAGCAGAAAAGAACTGCTTGTATTTGAAAACACGTAAAAAGCCACTTTTAACTTCACACTATCTTGCTGAGATTTAAAAAAGGGTCCAATCCTCTTAACAGACTGGCAAGGACCAGGACTTTCCTCCTGGATTAAACTTACCAACAACTTGAAAGAACACAGGCGACAAGAAGACACAAGGAAATGCCGCAGGTGTCTGAAACCACCTGGACTGGGCCCCGGTGTCGCCGTCCCGGCCCAGACCCGGCACCGCTACGCACGGAACCGCTTCAGTCCCACACGAGCTCCAGCGTGACTCCGATAGTCCTACGGCCGACCTTTTGCGGGGGGCCGTTCTGTGTTCACCCACAAACTCCAGCTCCGTTCACCTGCCCCCAGCCGGGCAGGCCAGGTGTGCCGCCCCGCAGGCTTTCCCAGGCGGGAGCGCTCCCCCGCCTTCCCGCCAGCCCAGACCGTGGTCCTGCAGGCAGCTGGGCTGGACCGCGTCCCCCTGGGCGCCCAAGCGGCCGCTGGCGGCACCCAGCTGCTGGCACGTCACTGCCAGCTGATTCCTGGGCCTCCCCTTTTGTTCTCACCGGGTTCTCCTCCAAGCTAACTCGTTCTTAACGGAGGGGTTTTAGAAGCGCGGGCCCTGTGTTGAAATGAAAGTGACCCTTTTCACGTGCTCCCTATACCACGTATCTGATTTAACAACAGCCCCCAAATCCTCCGCCTTCCTAAGGCCTTGACCTGAAGTGTGGCTGTGTGGGACAGGGAGAGACAGGAGCCTCCTAAGGCTGATTCCTTGTGGTTAAAGGACGTTCCTTCCTGGAAAGTATTTTCAGGTGTCTTCTTATTTGGCACTCGAGGATTGTTACCCCCGGGGCAATGCCCCAGAGTGAGATTTGGGGAGGTAGGAACCTGTGTTCCTTGTGTAAAGTAGGAGAATGTTTAATATGAAAGGACAAAGAGGAAAAGAGATGCTGGAAAATATCCTGTAAGGACCTAGAATCTGGAACCGGACTACCTGGGATCTCCTCTGTCTACGAGTCTTCACTACCTCCCGCGTTAGGCGCGCCCTCCTCTTACGACGCTGCCCACAGCACGTGCCTGTAGCTGGGTGCCCGGGCCCAGGTTCTGGAATCCCTGGGTTGGAAGCCGCCTGCGTCTCTCAGCTGCTATCAGTTAACCACTATCTTCTCATCTGTAATATGGGGGTGGGACCTATCTCACAGACTAGTTACCTAAACTAATGGAGATAACTCATTTAAAACTGCTGGTGCTCAATGAGTATCACTAAAGGCGTTCGAGAGTCTCTCAACAAAACTCTTTACTGATTAGCAAAGAAGAGTTTTGTTCTAAGCAAACTGGAATATTTTTTTGTCTTTATCAAGAGGGATGAAGTTATTTTCTTTTAATCAAGAATTTAATCCATAGTGAAAAAAAAAAAAGTAAATACTCTGTCACAGTACCACGAATAAAAAACAGTAATATTACGTATAGGATTATTTTGATAACAAAAGTGTTCTCAGAAGAAAAACTACTTGTTAATGAACTTTAGAAATGATATACAAGTATATCCCTAAATGGACCTCTGTCCTTTAAAAAAAAAATCTTTTTCTTCTTTTAGCTGTATGTTGAAAACTAACTTAATTTCATACAAATTAATGAAAAGTGAAATATTTGAACAAGAGGTTAATTACTAACGATAATGAACCAAGGTAATAGAAGGAATAAGTTTCTGAAATGCCAGTCAATACCCGACAAACAGAAAAGATTTTTTCTGAATTGTAATTTGGAGGGTGAAGGGAGTCAGTTTTAATAGGACTATTGGATTTAGAAAATCCCTAGTAAGGAATTTAGCTTTCCTCCTCATTAAGGAAATTAACCCTAGCATCAAACCTAGCTGAACACTGAGTATCAGGCAGGAAGTATGGACCAAGTAACTTTTTAGGCTCGGAAAGTGTTATATATAAAATGCACTTAATATTCTAGACATTAAAGATATATTTGTACTTGTATTGTTCACATCTCAATACACTTTATTACCAAATATATAGCTTACATAAAACATGCAGACATTAAAAATCTACTTAATTTTGAATTCTAATCCTGATTTTGTTACAATAGCAAAATTATAATTACGCATCTCACTAAAACTGCATAATTGATGAGAAAGTCCTTTCTATTCTCTACTCACTTTTCTTAATTAGAAAGCCAAGTATTCTCTTTGTGATGAAAATTGTACATCTATTTATCAGTCGAGTTTGTTTTTATGCCATAATCCATCACTTGTTCAAATATTTAGTGAAGATTTTTTAAAAAGCCATTAAGTATTGCACAAGCTATCTGAACTTCCATGTACGCACATAAAATACATATAAATATCACTTTACCTGAATTACTTTCTAATTTAAGATCTAACCAGAGGACTGCAACAACTTAATACAGAATTATAAGGCAGCACAGCAATGACACCGTAAGCCGCGTGCCATCTCCTCTTGCCAAGTTGAACAAAGCGGACGGGTAGAGAAGAAAGATGGTATCGTGTGTCCACGTCAGAAACGTCCAGGCTTGTCAGAATGTATATGAGTTTGGGCCGAACTGACAATTGCCAGGAAGCAGAATCTCAACGAACTGAGAAAATGCTACAGAACATGGCAGTTTCACCACTTCTTTTATGCATTAGAATAAAAGGGGGAGCCCTAAAGGGGTCACAGGAAGCCGACTGGCGATAGATCGGGGAGGCAGAAGGCGGCCAAGCAGGGGACCCCAGGCGGCGGATAAAAAGGGAAGCAGTCGCGCCCTTCTCGCACGCAGGGGGCGGGGTGGCTAACAGCTCACAGTGAACAGGGCAACACCAGTGTCTCCAGCTCAGGAGGGAGGCTGTGCCCCGGGGGGCCTGGGAAAAGGGAATGACCCTGACCTTCCAAAGGTGTGTGATCACAGATGCAAAAGTGTCCTAGACGGGCTCAGCTGAGGTGAGGAGTGGCCTCTGGCAAGGCAGGGCCGGCCTGGGACGGGCTTGCACTTAAAGTTTTCCTTTCCCACCGCCGGCGCCCTGCGTGGCTCCTATCAGTCTGGCCGGGAAGGCGCTGCATGCAGGCCTCCCGAGGGTCAGGTTGCCTGCGTGACCCCTCTTCCGTCCGCACAGGTAACTAATGGCAACATTCCACACGCATTAAGGCTGGATTGGGGGGCGGCTATTCACAGGAGAGCGGCTAAGGGAAAGCGGGTGTGAAGTAAGGAGGGTCCCGCCTGCTTCTTTTTCTTTAAGGACATTTTCCAGACTGAAGACAGCGAAGGGCCACTGGGCACCTGAGCACCCTTGTCGCCGGTCCTGATCGGATAACCCACCTCCCAGGAGCCGGCTCGGGGCAGCCCAGCGCTACCCTTCCCCCCACCCTCCTTGAGCTTCGACCTCAGAAAAGATAACCTTGAGGACAGGCTCCAGGAACCAACGCCACACTGGCTCCTCCGTTTTGGAGGAACGGCCGAAGTGTGAGGTCTTTGGTCACTGCTGCCCAGAAAGCCACATCAAAAGCGCCCCGGAAAGGGCTGGACCAGGGGCGCTAGAGCAGTCTCGGCTCTGGGCCAGACTTGCTCCGGGGTCACCGACGACGTCACGCCGGGGGCTGCCGGCGCCCCCAGAAACCACAGCCGGGCTGCCGGTGGGGGAGGGCCCCCGGGAAGCCTCCTGAGAGCGGCGGAGGCGGGGAGAGGGCAGACACCCTTGTCCTCCGCCAGGGAGGCCCCGCCGGCCTCCGACTCCGGGCTGCAGCTGCCCGCAGGTTAGCAGGGCTCGCCAGGGCACGCACCTCTCGCGCGCCCCGCAGTGAATGCAACTCGGTGATAAATGCACAGAAGTCGACTTCCTACTGAACAAGACCCGTTCCTGCGCTGCGCCGCCTCCAGCACTGATTTCCAAGATGCTTCTCAGCTTCCCACTAACATCTGCTCAATCGAACACTTTTCTCCGCACTGAAAGAAAAAATGCAGTGAAAGGTTCTTTTACCTGGCTTACCAGGTGCCAGGGCTCCCGGGTGTTAAGGACCCTCTCTCCTCCCGCCCTACCGCCAGGTCTACCCTCATCCAAGGCCCCCGGCTTCCTCCCCTCGATCGCCCCCAGTTCCGAGCCTCCCCTCCGTTCCCCCTCCAAGTCCTCGGCCCCGTCGCGCCACCCGCGTTCCTTCCTCTTCCTGGGCCACTAGCTCGGCGTTCCTGGCCCTGCTTCATGCCGCGGCTGCCGGGACCCGTCGGGGAAGACCTCTTGTGGGCACTGCGAGCACCCCGTGGGGCCCTGCATCCCCCAAACCTCCTCTCCCGCCCTGCCGGGTCCCGTGCACTGGAATACGGGTTCCCAGCGCAGCCCCTGGTGCTCAGGGACCCAAAAATGACCGAAGGCACGGCGCCGCCACGGGTCAGGGGGCCCCGGCTCTCACCTGGGGCCGAGCCGTGGCTCCAAGGCCGCCTTCTGCGAGGCCGTGCAGGTGTGTGCGCCGGGGCCGCAGAGCGAGCCGCGCCGTCGGGCGGGCGCGGTCGGGGCCCCGCGTCGCCCTCCCGAGCCAAGGTTCTCGGGAGCGGGCCGCGGGGAAGACGTTAGCAGGAGGAGTTAGCGGCTGTTGGGAGAACCAGTCCACGGAAACAGCGCCTTCCAAAGCGCCGGCCATCGCGGAGTGGGCCGCCTTCCTCCCTCCCAGGCCGGGGGAGCCGGCGCCAGCCAGCGGGGGCGCAGTGCCGACGGCGCCCGCCCGGTGGAGTCACTGGGCAGGGCTGCGCGGGAGCCAGGAGCCGGGAGCCGCCGCCCGTTGGCCCCGCGGGGCCCTCTACGCCGAGGGGTCGCGGCGCCGCCGCCGGTAGCTCGACGGGTGAGAAGGTCGCCATGGCGACGCAGCCCGGGGCGTGCACGCTGCTGCGGTTGGCATGGGAGCGGACCCGCGGGGCCCGGGAGCGCCGCTGATTGGCTGATTCAATAGACGCGGGGGGCGGGGGAGGAAAGTAATTAGCGCAGAGCCCCGAGGCCACAGCCGCTAGGACTCCGGCGGCGCCCCCGCCGGAATCTGTCTGCGCCGCGTCTCCTCCGGCCCCGCCCCCCGACCCCGGCGACCCCTCCTTCCCAATCCACCCCTCCCTCGCCCTCACCGTGCACTTGCTAATTGTTCCAGACGTATTTAGACAGGAGACCGAGAGGAGCGAGGCCCGAGGTGGGGCCTTCCGTCCGGAGGACGCCCCTGGCTTGTCCCTGGGGAAGGGGACATTCCCTCCCGCAGAGAAGTATCCGTGGTCTTTGCTGGCGGGAAGGGTGGGGCAGAGCGGGGGCTACGCCTCGCAGCAGAGAAAAACCAGGGCTGGAGGCGTAGACGCCCAAAGCACGCGGGGCCCTAGCACCCTGGCCCGGAGGTGTGTCCGGCTGCCGCGCCTTCCGGCTGCAGTCAGGTCTTGGAAGGAAGCCTGGGCAGATGCCAGTCGCTGTTTGGGGGCAAAGCAGCGTCGATCGCTTGCTCCCCGAGACTCAGGCCCTTTCAGCCCTAGTAACTGCAGGGAAGGCCACGTGTCTGAGTGCGCTCCCTCCTGGAGATTAGCTACCTCCGGGGGGCCTCGGGTGGAAGCGGTGGGCTCAGCGGCTCTTCTGTTTCTCCTTCCCCGCTGGCAGCGGCCCGTCGAGACTGAGGCGATGCATCTCAGCAGCTCCAAGAGCGGAGTAGTCCTGGCTCCGGTGTCCCGAGGTTCCGACGCCTGTCAGATGGTGGCCAGAGCCCAGCTCGGCCAGGACCCCCCACGGAGAACAGTGCTAGGGGCGCTGACCGAGAATGGGCAGTACAGGGGCGGCCAGGTAACGACCGAGAAGCGCTGGGAAGCTGCTCGCGCTGGGAGGGGGGCTTCGCTCGCAGCTTGACCTGCAGGCTGCCCTGGAGTCTTCCAGCCCTGGGATGGGGACTGTTGGGACGCTGGACAGTCTTAAGGTCCTACTGTTGGGTCCCCTTTCCAGCTAGAAAGAGTGAATAATCCCTCCCACCCCAGAGCACGGCTAGCAACTGTTTGGATTAAGTATTTGTTAAGTCATTTATATGCTGGCTAAACAGAAGTATGAACGCCCCCAAATAAACTAGAGAACTGGGGTCACTCCAGGTCACAGCAGCATGCAGACCCCTCCAAAGCTGTCGGGGACAGCCCTCCCGGTGTTGATTGGCCAGCACTTCCCATCGGGACTGGATCAGGAATTTGAAAGCAGACATCTCCGCCCCTACTGACAAAGGGCAGCTGGGCAAACAGATGACTGGCCATTAGAGGTGGCTTAACTGATCCCTTAAGGGGTTGAAAATAAATTCAGACATTCAGGTGCGGATGAAGGGTTTGGATGCTCGAGAATAGATTTTGAGGTTTAAAAAAAAAAAACAAAACTTCCCCAAGTTCTTATTAGACAAACTCCTGATAACAGTTTTTTCAAGCTTGTGTTGCACATTTGTCGTGGGATGATGCTGGCAATCACCCCGTGAAGCAGGCGGGCGGGGTCCCCTTTCCATTTTGCAGATGAGAAAATGTAAGGGGGCTAAGCAAGGACGGGGGTGGGGCCGGGGGGAGGGATCCGGGAGGAGGCCGGAGGAGAAGCCCCTCGTCCTCTGACTCGACCCTTGACCTTTTTGTGGCACCTGCTTAGCGGGGGGAAAAAATACCCACCGTGCCCTGTTCAAAGCTTTAGAAAAAATTGAGTGAAGTTGTTTTTAACAAAATTTCATCTGCTTAGCGACGTGTCCTTCTTCAAACCCGGTTCTTGGGAGTTGGCAGCTGCGCCTGGGCCAACTAGTCTAGCCTCCCGTCGCCTGCCTGGTTCCTCTGCAGCCTCCTTAGGAGTCTGTCTTACACCTCTGCTTCTCCCTTTCGTGCTCCGCAACCTCCTCCTCCCTCCCTGCTCCCAGTTGAAGGCACTGTGTCCTGTTTTCCTCAAGATGGGAAAGCCCCCGGAAGAGAATGTGCATGTGCTCCCATGCGCCCTACTCTCTGCACGCCCACCCTGCTGCGTGACTCCGGTCCCTGCTCGTGGGCACGAGGAGCCCCTCCTGGTGCGTGCACCTTACACCCTCTTCCCTCTTCAAGGACATTGTTCCAACTCTTTCTTTTCTCTCCCGGGTTCTCTCTTTTCTCCTGGGTCAAACCCAATATAATTTTTCCATCTTAAAAACCTTTCAACGACAAAGCTCTTTGCAGTGTCTGCCTCATTTATAGCAATGCTCCTTCAGGCTCTGTTTATCCCCCTAGATTATAAGTGCCACCAGGATAAAGACTTATCCTGGACGAGCTCATAGTGGGGTGCGCGCTTCATTGCTGCATTTCCGGGGCTTAGACCGGTGCCTGGCCGGGGTAGCACGCTAGTGTTTGTTGCACGAATACTTTCCATCTCTAGTTCTTCTCTTGGTCGCTTTTGACTCCATGGATCATTTTTTTATTTCTAGAATTGTCTTCTCACTCAGCCTGGAACTCTGTCCTGGTTCCCCGCCCCCCAGCTCGCCAGCCGCTCCTGCCCCAGATCCCGGTTCTTCCTCGTCCCGGGGCTGCGAGTCTGAGTGCACCAGGGCTCAGCACTCGATCCAAGTGTGCACGCCCGCCCTCAGCAAGCGCTTCGAGCCTCAGAGCACCGCGAAATACCACCCGTCTGTTGCTGGCTCGCACTTGCAGCTCCCGTCTGGGCCCCGCAGCTGTGCTGCCCGATCACACACCCGCATCCTCCTCGACAGCTTCCCCGGAATCCCTGGCGCGCGCTGCTGGCGTCTCAGGCGAGCAGAGCGGAGCCCAGCCCCCCCCTTGCCCTTCCCAAGTCTCCTCCTCGCAGTACGCGGAACAGCCGTCCTTCCTGTTGTTCAGCCCAAAAGGCTTTGCCATCCATGACGCTTCTTTTCCTCCCACCCACACCTCTTTTGCTGAAAAAGCACCACCGGCTTTCCTTTTGAAAATGTCCAGAACACCTTCCTCTTTCATCCTTTACTAACGCACTGGTTCAGAGCCCTGCTGTATCTTACCTGGACGTTGCAAGTTCCACCACCGGTCATCTTACTCGTCTTAACTTGCCGCAAGATCCGGCTTCTCTTTCCCTTCTGACTTCAGGGCCGACACTGTGCCCTTTCTTGCTCTGCCCTGTCTGCTTCCTGCTGTGCCTGGAAGACACACTTCAACCTCAGGGCACTGCCCAGGCCGTCCCCCCGGCCCCGAATGCCCTTCCCCGTGTGCCCCGCTATCTCAGCGTGTCCGTCTCTTTGCCCAACTTTGCCTTCCTCGCTGGGGCTTTCCCTGGCCAGGCTGTTTAAATCGGCAATGACTCTCGTTTCCCTGTGTTTTTCTTCGAAGTGCTTACCCACTGTCTGACCCACTGTGTTTTCTTTTCTTTCCCTCGTGCCCCCAACTAGACGAGAAACTCCACGAGGGCAGTTTGTTTTGAACGTTTGGTTCATTGCGAACTTCTGGGCACATAGAACAACATCTGGCCCATGGTGGATACTCAGTCCACGTGTAAGGAATGTATGTCTTGGGCCATGTACACACATCACTGTAACAAAAGCCAAGTCTGGTAGTAATTTGGAATTCGGGTTATCTGGTTACAATAACGTATGATTTTGGTCCTTGATCGTCCCTGTGACTTTTCCAGCACTACCATAAGCAATGTTTTTTGTCGCAGAGCAGACACAAGCCACATATTTACCCTGCTAGTTGAAAGGAAAAGTTGTGGAAACACATAATTCAGGAGTAATTCACATAATTCAGGAAACACATAATTCAAACACATAAAACACATAATTCAGGAAACACATCTCAGCAGTAAACACAGAGGTTAATTATAAATGATAAAATACAAACCCAGTAGCGAGACCTGGCATTTGCATAAAAATAACGTGGATTCAAGACGCTCGCCCACCTGCCCGGGCTTGCCGACCGCCAGCCCCTCCCACCTGCCTCACCTTGCTGCGCGAAGTGTGTGGCATGTTATGCTCCTTCCCAGAGGGGCACACGCGGTGGTTTCCATCATTAATGTCACGGGGTGAAGGGAAGGGAGAAGCGATCGATGGACGGTGAGGTTTCCCAGGGTCACTGCCTCATGTCATAAAGGTTCTGTGTGAAGAGAATTCAGCAGAATCCAGTGGAGTTACAGTTTCTTTCCTCTGCCACGTTGAGTTCCCTTTGATAAAATGTGAGGAAGGTGACACATTTTAGAGAGCTCTTCTCCCCAATGTCAGATGAAGACCGAGGCCTCAGAGAAGCCACACCTTGGAAGCGCCGTTGTCTGACATGGCCTTGCAGACAAAGATATTTCCATTCACAGATGCCTCTCACCTTCCCCGCCCGCTGGGGTGCAGCCCCACAGGATCACATCACCTGCGGGTCTCGGGGGGCCTCTCACAAGAAACACAATCCCATTCTAGGGGATCCCAACGGTGAGGTACTTCTCGGGACCGGAAAATGCCTTCCCTGCCGTGGGGACGAAAGCGCCGCCCGCCTGCGGGGCCCACGTGCCGGCCAAGCCGGGGTTCGACGTCCACATGGCCGAGCCCGAGCAGGAGGACGGACCCCGCTGCGCCGGGAGCAACGGGGGGGCCTTCGGGGACGTGTACGAAGTGGACACCAGCACACTCAAGTCAGACCTGCACTTCCTGCTGGACTTCGGCACAGGTGAGCGGACCCACCTGCAGCGGGCGGGCGGGGGCGGGGGCCCTGCGTGCGCCGTCGCCCGCAGGATTCCGTCGCCCGGTACCGGCAAGGGGGCCCCGCAGAGGGATGCGGGCTCCCCCCGCGGCCCCGGGGGTCGGTGCTGGACCGCGGCTCCCAGCGAAACCGCTCCCCCGGGCCTGTCGACCCCTCCCTGCAGTGTCCCCCATGCTGGTAGACGCATCTCTCCAGTCCCAGTCGGAAGGGGCGTCCGACCTGGGGACGGACGTGACCGATGTGACGGAATACGCTGAAGAAATTCATCAGTACCTCAGGGAAGCCGAAGTAAGTGTCCCCGCGCTCCACGTCCCGGCCCAGCACCGCGGCCCGTGTGCAACGGCGGCGGCAGGCTCTCGGCCCCAGCCGCTCGGGAGTGGCCTCCTTAGGACACGTCGGCAGGAGCGCGTCTGTGACGATGCCCGGTGTCGTCCGCGTGTGGCGAGTCCTCCAGGACTCGGAGGGTTTGCACGTTAAGGGTCCCGCGTCGGGGAGCCGCCCGTGTGGCCGCTTGCTCCTCCGTCGGGTTATTGACGGGCCGACACGCTCCAGAGCCAGACGTTCACGCTCCTCCATAGCCTGGTAGCGTGGCTCCTGAGCGGCTCGTTTCCTGCTAACCTTTGCTCCTGAGAGGCCGTAACAGCAGGTGTCCTGCGACGCGTGATCCTGCTGCTGGCGCCACGGCCTGAACCCCAAAATGCTCTCCCCACACAGACGCGACACCGGCCCAAGGCGCACTACCTGCGCAAGCAGCCCGACCTCACGGACGGCATGCGCCGCATCCTGGTGGACTGGCTGGTGGAGGTGGCCGAGGAGTACAAGCTGCGAGCCGAGACCCTCTACCTGGCCGTCAACTTCCTGGACCGCTTCCTCTCGTGCATGTCCGTCCTGAGAGGGAAACTGCAGCTCGTGGGCACAGCCGCCATCCTCCTGGCCTCGTAAGTGGCCCGCGGCCTGGGGGCCGGGGAGCCCCCGCCCATCCAAGCTCGGGGTTCGCGCCTCATCCAGGGAAGAAAGGCAGTGCTTTGCAGCCCGAGCCTCATCGCGCCTCTTTGATAAACGGTCATAGTTTTATGGTATTCGCTGAGGAACGGAGCCTCACCACGCGTTCTCCCTTCAACGCCGATGCTTTTGATTTACCGTGACAAGGACAGTGCCGTGGCGAAGGCAGCCGTCAGCTCGAATCCAGGAGGCAGTCTGACTGTTCGGGGGGGCAGCCTTCCGGCCCTACCGCCGCAGTGCGCGTGGTTGCAGCGGATACGTCCTTTCAGCTCGTTCTTGTCACCGTCAGGCCTCGATAACCTCTAACGGCCTGGGGCGGGCTGGGCCGGGGCCGCGCCGCCTTTCGTGAAGTGACCTGTTGGCGGGCGGGCATGTCCTTCCTAGTCTCCTGGTCTCACATAGTCTAGTTACTAACTCGCCTAAACACGTGCCAAGATTTCCCTGCAGAAAGGAGAAGCAAAAGCAAAGAGTTGATACCTGTGAAATCTGATCATGATCCTTCTCTTGGACAGGTAGCATCATTTGCTAATTCAGTAGAGAAAGCTGACCATCATCTTTTTTTAAAATCTAAGACTGAAGGGATGTCTTTTCTACCGTGGGTTTAACAAAGCGTTCTTTCCCACGGGAGGATTTGAAGTCAGAGGATTTGCACGTGTGTCAGTCCTGCAGCATCTTTTTGATCTCAGAGGCCAGGCCTAAAGCTCTTGGTTGAAAGTTGTTTCTGTTACTAGTCCTAGCAGGCAGCACAGCACATGTTTGTAATACTCACGTTCTTGTTCCGGAAACAAGTTCCTAACACTTTCCCGGCCCTGTGCCAAGTAGCGATGTCCAAGGCTGCGAGGGCCGCGTGAGAGGCAGGGCGGCGGCGGCGGCACGGGAAGGGGCCGCCGGTTCCGAGCGTTGCTGCCAAAGGCTGTCTGCTTCCCGCAGGAAATACGAGGAGATATACCCACCCGAAGTGGACGAGTTTGTCTACATAACGGATGATACGTACACCAAACGACAGCTGTTAAGAATGGAACACCTGCTCCTGAAAGTCCTGGCCTTCGACCTGACCGTGCCAACCACCAACCAGTTCCTCCTGCAGTACCTGCGGAGGCAGGGAGTGTGCGTGAGGACCGAGAACCTGGCCAAGGTATGGCGCGTGGGCCCGCCAAGGACGCCGGGGCCGCGCGGGGGGAGAAGTGGCCTTTCCAATCGTCCTGCGGTCCTTCCTTCCTTCCTTTGCAGGGACTTTTGTTTTAAGTTTGGAAACTGTTCCCTTGTTGGAATCAGACCTCAGGCCAGCAGCCCCTCTGAGATGCACAGAATAGGGACAAAGTAAATGCGATTTACTTTGCATTAGAGATTTGGCTCTAACCTCCTAACATATCAAGTAAAGAAACATGACCTGGACACTTGGAGTTGCAGAACGTGGCCGAAGGCACGATGGTGTTGCTGTGGAAAGCTTGGTTTCCATGCCCCGGGACTGAGTCTCTTTGGCATTTATGTGTTAAACAAGCAGTAATGAGGAAGCCCCGTACACGTTTGCCAATATGTGTCTTCTGACCTGGTGCCACCCGCTGGCGCTGTTCTGGCCTCTGAGCTGCAGGGGTTTGCCTGATGGATCAAGCGCTGTGCTGTGGTCGTAGGTGGCCTGTGGCTGAAGTCTCTGGCCCACCCCAGTGGCCGGAGCGATGCCGCGCTGCCCGGCCCGCATAAGCCTGCCCTGCTGTATAGATAAGTGACCTGCCGCGCACGGCGTGCGCCTGGGCCCAGCGCTTGTGCCTGGAAGTGTGTTGCAACGTAAGCGTTATTCTGGCTGTGGACAGGCGTGGCAGGTGTCAGCCTCCTGAATAAGTGTGAGCATCAGCTGCACGGGCGATTGACACAGGCGGAACAATAATGAGACGCGGTTTTCCCCCCTGACATTTTTAAGTTTACTTGTAACCTCGGTCAAATTCCCCATTCCAATGAGGTTTTTCTCTCTCGTTTTTAGTACGTAGCAGAACTGAGTCTACTTGAAGCCGACCCGTTCTTGAAATACCTTCCTTCCTTGATAGCGGCAGCCGCGTATTGCCTGGCAAACTATACTGTGAACAGGCACTTCTGGGTGAGATTCCAGTTACTTCTTTCTCGATGAAATTCAAGGCGTCCGTAAAACCCGTCTGGTAGCGCTCGGGGCTTAGGATGGGCCGGCTTCGTGCATCGGGCCGGCAGGCAACGGCTGTCGGCCTTCCTGGCTTGCACCCAGGGCTCTGCTCTGCGCAGAGGGAGGCCGCAGGGCGCCGAGGCGGCGGCGCAGGCAGGCGGGCGAGCGTGCTGTGCAGGAGCAGGAGCAGGCCCGGACCCCGACGCCCACCCTCACGCAGCGAGCGCCCTGTGGTGAGAGCAGTGACCACTTCAAGCAAAGCTGCCACTTTTCCCCTGTCGTGGTTGACAACCCAGGTCCAGTTCAGGTGGTCGGAGGGTTGGACCCTGCCTTCCAGGGAACAGGGACGGTAGTGTAGCCTCTTGGCCCAGGACGGTGGCGGAGCTGGACACGGGCCCCTCGGTTCGGTTCTGAAGGCTCCCTTTCGTGCTGAAGGAAGTGGGGGGCCTGCTTTTACTTTCTAGAATGCTTGTTTCTTGTTCTGCATTCAGCTAAGAATCTTTCTCATTCCGTGTAAGTAGGGCGCTCAGGTAAGTGCGTTGTAAGTGTGCGACATGAGCTCATTAAGAACTCCGGCTGTTCTAGTATTTTGTGCCTAAGTCTCTAAAGAAGGGTTACGGTTTCTTTGGACATAAACGTGGACAGTAAGTGATGAATTTCCTTTATTTCACCGTTTGAGAGTTCTTGTGCCTTGGAAAGTTACAGGATGCAATTTTCTTTCTTTTGTCTCCATTAGCCAGAAACCCTCGCGGCTTTCACGGGCTACTCGCTAAGCGAGATCGGGCCGTGCCTGAGCGAGCTGCACCGGACCTGCCTCGATGTGCCCCGCTGGCCGCAGCAAGCCATCCGGGAGAAGTACAAGGCCTCTAAGCAAGTGCCCGGGGCTTTCTTACCTGGGCTCGCTATCCAAAGCTTTAAAGCCTTCCTAGGTCATAGTACTGTCGGAATCAAAAATAGAACAAACTGTGTACCTGGGGCTAGGCCGGAAAAACAAGTTGTGCGTGAGATCAACAAAGTCAGTTCGGAGAGACCCAGGGGGTCATTTGTTGGCTTGTAGTACACAGTCAGCGAGCCTCCCTTCTTCCTCCCTTCTTTTTTGTAAAGATTTTATTTATTTTTAGAGAGAGGGAAAGGGAGAGAGGGAAACATCTACGTTTACCTCTTGTGCACCCCCTACTGGGGGCCTGGCCCACAACCCAGGCAGGTGCCTTGACGGGGAATCGAACCAGCGACCCTTTGGTTCGCAGGCTGGTGCTCAGTCCACTGAGCCACACCAGCCGGGGGCTCCTCCTTTCTTTCTGTTAAAACTTCTGGACAATGTCCTGTGGCCTCACTGGGCGGTTACCAAACTGGAGTCTTTGGCTCGTGCCGACCTTGCCCTGGGTCTCATTGCAGGTACCTGCACGTGTCCCTCATGGAACCGCCTGCGGTTCTTCCTCTGCAGTGAGTGTCGGAGCTGAAGTGCATGCGGAACTGAGCCTCCAGACGAACAAATCGGTCCCCGTGTTTATAGGTTTCTGCAGGTTGGATCGTCTAGGGTCGCTTCCGTACAGATGACATGTTTTTTAAAAATGTAAATGTATTTAGGTTCTCTTAGACTTCGTAGCTTGTAAAATAGTCTAACATTTTTAAAAGAATAAACAACTTGCCTTATGGCCACCTGGTAGGTGTGTTTACTGATGAGCATGGCCAACGCCCTGGCCGGAACCTGCGTTGGGAGGAGGGTGAGAGTCATCTCCCTTGTAAGAGTCCTTCCAAGTTTAAAAACCTGGCACGCCGCTAGGTTTAAGTGTCCCAGGGGACCCAGAGGTTTTCACGTTCGGAGAGCGGCTGCCCTGAGACTTTTTTTCCTGTCTCCACGCAACTCTTCCCAACGGGGCAACGGAAAGCCCCCCACGCTCGGTCAGAGCAGCCAAGGGATGCGAGCAGGCGCCGACCGTTCAGCTCCCTTCGCGGACTCCGGAGGCTGCAGGAGGCGGGGGGTGCTGCTGCAGGGGCCCCCCCGGGCCGGCTCCCACTCAGTGCTCGTCCAGCGACGGGGTGCTCTCTCTTACAGGGACACCATGGTCTCAGCGCTCAGGGTTTTCTTCTTCTTTTGTCTCAGTTTTTTTATCCCAGGTTCATTTTCAATTCCGTCACGCATCCAGCCTACGTTTCAGTCTTAGAAGGTGCTCAGAGAGCCGACGGCACCGTGGGATGGGGCTTTGGGGCCGCTAAGCCAAACCCCGCTCCGTTCACGTCCCGGGAGGCCCCCGCGCGGAAGTGGGCTCCAGCTCGCCGCGGGCACAGCCGCGCCGGCCGCAGTCCGCAGCTCGCCCGCCGCCCGTGTGCCCGCGGCCCTTCCCGCAGCGCCGGTGAAGAATCGAACCGACGTTGCTTTTAATTTTCTTTCAAAGATTGGAAAGAAGATCAAGACCAGACTTGGCCTTGCGGGAACGTGGAGCTCGTTGGGGGTGGGATATCAATTTTGTTAGCCTCAAGGCTCCCGCCCTGGGCTGGCGCGCCCCGGGGCAGCCCACGAGTGTCCGGTGACAGGGAGGGGATGGAACTGACTCCGAGTCGTATGCGCGATTCAAGCTCCAGTGAAATGATAAATAGAAAAATGTGGTCATACAGTACGTATTTTGTGGAGATTTTTTTAAACGTGCCCACAAGCTCTTAAAAGCTCTTGGCATTGCCCTGCCCCCTCCCCCTGCAGAGTAGCATTGTCAAAGGGTCTCCATTCCCAGTTCCATCGAATAAATCGGCATTTCCCCAGGTGTGTTGTGTGTTCTTACCTCAGGTCCACAAAGGCGGCGCGCGGCCTGCACCTGTCCTGAATGCTCTGTTTTTATAGCACGTCATCAGCAATTTGTCACCTCACCCCCTAACTTGGGGCTGGGTGTGTCTCCACGCTCTGCGTGTATACGCTTACCTTTCCACCTGCCCTCGGCTCTCGGCCAGGTCACAGACACGCTGTATGTCCCGCCTCGAGCTGCCCCTCCAAGGGTCCGTGGCAGGGGCGATGCTGGCTGCGACTTCAGTGGTAGAAGTGCTGTGTCCGTCCCTTTCGAGCCTCGGAGATTTGGGGGACGGGCCAGGGAGGCTTCCCCTCCCCCTGTGCCTGTTTACCCCGGCCGCCACGCCTGCGAGACATCTGGCGCCAGCAGCTACACTTTGGGCCTCAGCGCCGGCATCTTCCACAGTGCGTTGGGGCCGGCCTGCGGAGGGAGTGTCCGCCGGGAAGTTTTCCAGGGCAGGGCAGCTGACGAGTGAGCCTGCCCTACTCGTCGCCTTCCAGGGTGGGTGCTCATCCAGGCTACGTGAGCGTGCCTGTCTTCTCAGCTGTCACCTATGCACATACGGAATCTCCCGGCCTCCGTGCCCGGTGGCACTGCTCTAGTGGCGTGGACAGCTGCCAGGCCAGGAGCCGAAGCAGACAGTGGCGCCGGCGCCGCCTTCCCCAGCTCGTGGATCGGGGATCGGGGCCCAGGCTGCGTCATGACACCCACGCCCACGGCCGGAGCCTGGACTCCGCGGCCGCCCGCTGCAGGAGCCGCCCTTACGCACACACAGCCCCTTGTGTTTCCGAGCGGGGGATGCTGGCCTTGCCGGCTCAAGAGCAGAAGGAAGGTGCGAACAGAGCTTGGGGACAGGGGCCCGGCCAGCACACGTCTGCTCCAGGTGCCGGGGGAAAAGCGGGGTTGAACTGCAGGCTCGCCTAAGCCCCGCCCCACCGGACACGATTATCCCTCCTCGGTCTAGTCTACTGTGAAAGAGAATGGCATCCAGATACTGCCTTGTGATATCTCCGTCTTCGGAATCCTGTTTCACACATGCGTCATCAAAAATGTGCTCCCTGCCGTTTTGGTGACTCAGCAGCAGTCTCTGAGGGGGAGTGAAACCGAGAGGCAAACACAGGGCGGAGCCGGAGCCGCCTCAATGGACAGCACGAGGCTGTGACCACGGTGGACTTGCGTGCTCCAGTGAGCCGATCGCTGCAACCACCCCCAAGCGTCGGGAGCTCATCGCAGCAAAGGTGGCCTTCTCGTGTGCTCCCCAGCGCGTGTTAGACAACGGGAGCTTCTGTCCCCACCGGATTCTGGTTCTCAGCGGGCAAGGGACGAGAAGCACATGGAGAACACCCCAGTTCTCCTTCGGGGCGGGGGCTCGCCGTGCAGTTCAGCGGTAAGCCCCCGGGGGCAGAGGGCGGCCCGCGAGGGCAGTCAGCCTCTGCCGTGGGTGTCTCGGAGCGCCCAGCGCCCGCCTCCTCGGGAATCAGGGATTTGTCAATTTTGAGTTACCCATTTTTTACTATCTCTGTCATATCTAGATCCCTCCGTTAAAGGACGGCCTTTTTCAATGCAACCTCTTCTGCACAGTAATATTCCAGAAGTAAAGGCTATGATGTGTGAGTCACATCTTTTTTAACACACATTAAACATATGTATGTACCTGCTGACTGTGAGACACTTAAAATCCCGCCCTCCATGGCGGGGGGTGTCACCTCTTGGGAAGGACCGCATTGCAAGTCTGCAGAGAATTTGCGAGGCTTCCCAAAGCGAACGCTGACGAGAATGTGCCGTCTCACGTTCCCCAGCCTGAGGTCCTCGGGCGGGAGTCTGGTCATAGACCGCACTCGCTGTTGAGAAAGGCACTGCCTGAGGATGACTAAGGACCGCAGACGGGGCAGGACGGCCTATGCCTTTAAAATAACGGGGTAGCACCCCATTTCCGCGTCATTTCCTCTCCCTCTTCTTCCCCCGCCAGCACTAACAATTGTGGCCGGGAGGCCGGCCCCTCTGTCCGCGGCGGACGGTTCGACGTGGCAGCTCTGGCATCCGGAGCCAGAGACGGGCTGGAAAAAGTTGAGATGGTACATCAAACTAGACTCGCTCATAGGACAAAAGCGTTGCAGGGGCCGGGTTGCCCTGCTGCCCGAATCCACCCCGCTCGCCGCGCTCTGCTGTGGCCGCCCTCGCCTTGCCCATCACTCCCCAGGTGGGCCCGTCACCGTAGCAACGTCCTACCGGCCCCGCTTCCTTTTCCCTGGTTCCAGAGTTTTTGCAAATAAAATTGGTGCCATCACATCCCTGCATATAACCCTTCAGCGTCTCAAACCCTGGGAGGAGATGGGGTCACGCAGGCCCTTCCCTGGCTGGACCCCTCTCCCCCAAAATGACTGCTCTGCTTTAGAGCCTGACAATTCCCATGGTTCCCTTCTGGCTCCCCTAAGTCCCTCCCACCGGCTGCTCTCTCTTTGAAAGACACGTGCCGCTGCCCCGCCCCTCGGGCCAGCACTGAGCCATTCTTCAGAGCTGATTTTGGCTTCCCTGTGCCCTGTCAGCCTCAGAGTGTCCCTTTACTACAACTGGCTGCTGCCCTCTGTCCCCTCCCAGACTACACGTCATCCCTGTACTCGCGACAGCTGGCTTGACGCTAGAGACGCAGGACTATTTTGTTGGGAGAACGGATGGATTATCCATTGTATAGACAACCGCTGGCCCTTGGTTTCATGAATTACAAGGTGATGTCGCGGGGAGGCGGGGAGCGTCACAGGGCACGATCGATCGGATGCGGCAAAGGTAACCGGAGACCTCACCGTTGGAGGCGAGGGCACGGGGTGTCAGGGTGCCCTGCAAAGCTCATCTGCTTCATAGTCCTCGCATTTACTGTAGCACGACCTGGAAGAGGAAGGGAAGCTTTCGTGAGGGTTTGGCAGCCAAGGGCATGTCTTAGCTGAGAATCGGGAACACACTGGCTTTTTGAGGGGCAGATTCAGGGCTTTGCTGCCTTTTGGCCTTTACCTCTTTCTCCCTCTGCCGTAAAGGGAGGCTTTCTGTCATCCACGGAGAAGACACATCCTGAGCTGTCACTTGCTGAGCAACAGCAGCTGTATTTTGCGTGTGCTCTGATGTATCATAAGGCATTCTTGCTTTTGAAATGCATCCATAAAAGCCCTTTTAACTGATGATTTATTCTGTGAGCGTTTTAAAAATGTCACCTCCTGATGACAGAAGGGGCTCAGCCTAGGGGGTGAGGGCGGTGTTGGGGGGGCGGGGCCGGAAACAGGTGCAGAGGAGGGGACTTCTACGATGTCGATGTCGGGGACTCCTCCAGGCCTCATGCCGCCTGGGAGAGATTTCTTTCTTCATCCCCCACATGCAGGCAGAAGAGGAGAGACCTCTCCACTGTCACCGTGCAGAGCTGGGCGTTCAGGTCTCAGAAAGAAGCCTTGTGGAACTGAGCTCCCTGTGCCGTGGGGCCCTCGCCGGTCGGTCAGGCTGACCTGTGCCGAAACTGCCAGGAGGGCCTAGCTTCCGTGCCTTAACGCAGGCTGGCCAGCAGGCCCGTGCCCTTCCTTTCTTTTGTTGTTGTTGTTTTTCTTTTTTAAGATTTTATTTATTTACTTTTAGGCAGAGGGAGGGAGAGAAGGAGAGAGACATCCGTTGGTTGCCTCTCGTGTGC